AAAAAAAAAAAAAAAAAAAAAAAAAAAAACATTTTTTTTATTATTCTTTTTGGTTATTATTCTTTTTGGTTTACAGTTTATAGTTTTATTATTATTCTTTTTGGTTTACAGTTTTATATCGTAGAAATACATTTTGTCTATTTATTTATTTAATCCAGAGACTATGATTGAAGAGTCAGAATCAATTTTCCTTTTTTTTGCATTGGTTTGGTTGTTGGTCTGCATGCATGAATTATTTGTGTTTCCTCAACAGGTAACCCTTTCTCTGAAAACTAATTATTTAAATCTCCTTTTCGTTGTCCTTAAAACATTTTTCAATTCTGCGTTACAGCTCATGTTCCAGGAATAGCTTCTTCTATCTGTTTTTATCATATACTGTGAGCAGTAAAGGAAATTAAATTTCGAAGATCCACCTAGTTCACTCTCTCCCGAACGCGTATGTATGCAATGTGCATGTATGTGTCACTGAAACAACCAGTAACCGTAATAATACCAGAAAAAGACATGCTTTATTCGGCTGATCTAACTTTACCACAAATCGATACATAATATTATAGCTAATTGATAACAAACATTTTGAACGTTGCAGATTGTATTAAAAACGCATCCACTTGGTTCCAGAAAAAATTCATTGTCGTTCATCGGCCGCCTAACCAAACCGACCTAATATACAGTACTTTTGTCTTGATTCATTTCCTATTCTAAAACCGAACTTAATTTATTGTCAAATAGGAGTTGCCATAGATCATAAATCGGGTACAAAGTTCATAAAGAGGCTCAGAAAAAGTGCAATAGGGAGGGACCTTAAGCTTCCTAAGCAGAGCATTTATATGCAGTTTAGTACTTTTAGTTAAAAGCCAAAGGACATTTAATAATATACTCTTTGGTAGACGCTGTAAACGTAGATGGCATTCATTATGCTCAGAGCATAGGTATGTTAATAAATCGATCTGTTTCTTACTCCATAAGAGTCTTAATTACCACTATATAAAATGGTTAAAAAGAATCAACCATAGACATTTAACCCCCCAATAAAATAATGTAAACGATTAGGAGAGAACGAGATGTTCCTCCAAAATGTCTCAGAAACATCAGTTAAAATAAACAGATTGCCACGTGGCAAACACTCAGGGAAAGTCAAAATGCAAGAAAGAAAAAACCGGAGAGATACACTTTTATATTACCAACCGCCTACTTTGGGACGTACAGATTCCAACATTCCCTTCACCTGTCAACAACATTGACACAAACAAACCACAAAATCATTGAATTACAAATAAATCAAACATCTCATCATCTTCAGCATTATAGTGAACAAGTAGCTCAAAAATTGTAACAGTACCACACAATGCCTTATCAAGTAAAACAGAGAACAGTCAAATGCATTCCATGTGTAATGTTCATAGACTGTCGAATGATCCTACTATATGAATCCTTACATTGAATGCGAGAGACCAAACAAATGGTAGAATAGTATAGATAAACGTACATGGATTGTAATGATCAAATAAAAACTATATCAGTTTCTGTATATGTATTCAAACTCCAGTTACCAAAGGATGAGGAACAAGACTTGTGCCTAATGAAAGTAAAAGCCTAATCAGTGTGAAAATGCAAAACCACATATGATTCAATCGATTGATGAACTCTATGATAGATCAAATTACCTTTGCAGCTATTACCTTGTCTGTCTGTTGGAATCTTATAGACACCGTAGACTCCTCACACGCCTTGACGACCCTGAGTCAAGAACAACTGGGTCTCATTCGGAACTTCATTGTCACTAGACTCTTTGCTTCCATCCTCTTCACACAAGCTAGACTCAGCAACACCGCTCTCAGCAGGCTCCTGCACAGTTATTACCTTCCCAAACAGCTGAAAACTAATGCCTCGATTCCCAGAAGAATTATTAGTGGTATTGCTATTAGGCGACAAGTCATCTGATTTCTCACTGCCAAAGTTCACCATCTGAGTCTCGACTCTTCCCAACCCGGGAAGAGGAGTAAAGAAGTTAAACTCAGGATGAGTGTTATCTCCAATGAATCCGGTTGAGTTGTTGTAAGACCCAAATTCATAATGCCTGGCTCCCTGCATGCCAGCAGGAACTGTAGTATAAGTGTACACATAAGGATTCGGATCAACAGCTTGTCCTCCTCTTCCTGAATAGATCATCTCTCCTTCTTCCCCACTCAAGAACCCATTCCCTCCCTGTGGATACTTCGACCTCTTCGTTGGAGGAGGAGGAGGAGCGTAAGTAGCAGCATGAAACTGAGTTGAACTCCCAACAACCTCCACTTGCCAAGGATTCACCCTCTTCAAATTCTTCAGAATCTCAGGCTCGTCCCATGTAATCTACTCAAAACACACACAAGCAAAGCATTCATATTCAACTAATCAAGAACTCACAACACAGTAAACACAATGTATATATACCTGAAGCTGTTTCCACGTCTCCTGAAACGTAGCGGAGACGATACCTTGAAACCAAGTGATCCTCGAGGAATCATCCGTCTCCATAGCCATCTTAACTCTCATTCCAGGAGTCCAGTAAACATTCAACGAAGCCTCAACGTCTTCAGCTCTCACAACGAAATCAGACCACCCCGCCGTGGGATAATACACAACCTCAAACGGTAATCCCCGAGACGCTTTCCCAATCGCCTCCGTAACCGCTTCAACCGTCATCTTCCCCTTCCCAACTCTCCTAAACCCCTTCTTCGCGTTTCCACCATCTTCTTCCACCTTCCCCCCTCCGTAATAGCCACCAGCGATATACTCATCTCCAAAGTAACTCCCTCCTCCTACGCCGGGGCCTTTGTTATTAGAGATCGGAGCTCTCCTCACACCAATAAACATCTCATGAACAGACTTCCTCATGAAAACAACCGAATCTCCAGCGATCAGCTTCTTACTATTCACGAACTTGCTCCACCCCGTCGTCAACAAGTGCCTCCTCGGGGTCCCTCTGTAGATATGACGAAAGTCCCAAACGACGCCGTGCACGTCGACAATAAACAGCTTCTGAACGGGAGGATCGGCTTGGAAATCGAGAGGAGGGAAAACCGAGTCCGCGCAGTAGCGCGGCACCGAGAATCCTCCTCCGTTGTTAGCGTCAGACGCCGTTAAGACCTTCGCGAACGTAACAACCTCTTCCCTCTCGTCGTCGTCCCCCTCGTGGTGGGGGAAGCGGGAGGGAGGGAAGTTGAACTGGTCGGGAGAGACGGGGTGGAGAGTGAGGTGAGCGAAGACCTCGTCGGTGATCGGATCCGCGAGGAGGTTGATTGATGAGACGACGCAAGGGATCGGGGAAGTTACGACGGATGAGGAGATTGTTGAGGAAGGTGAACAGTGCTCCACGTGTCCTTGAGGGAAGTAATAGACTCTGGAGAAGAGAGTGGGGATCTGGACGGAGGCTCCCGCGCACGCGCGCCAGATCTTAGGGTCGATTTGGCGGTCGGCGGTTGCCGACGTTGGTGGTGACATTTGGCGGTTACGGACGTTAGAGAGAGAGAGTTGTTAGGTACTTTAGAGAGAGAGAGAGGGGAAGGGACTGTGTGATGTCTGAGAAAGAGTTTATAGAGAGAGAGAGGATAATGGAGACGAGAGCGGAGGGGTAGGGAGAGAGAGAGAGAGAATAGATTTACTGTTACGCCGTTGTTGCTGCGAGATTTTGATTCGATTTTTATGGGAATTTACGGTTTTGCCATTGCGCAACAAACTTTTTATGCAGCAACTTGCTCTTCTACACCGTCCGATCGCGCGTGTGATTCGTTCTCTCTTCTTTTATTCTCTGTTTTTATGGTTGATTTTTCTCGGTTTTTTTTGTTTCTATTTATTTATTAAGTATTTTTCATTACTTAATGATGTCGTACACTTTCTTTGTTTTTTAGTTTTAGAAGCTAATTAAAAAAACGAATTATTAAAGACCGCTAATGATTTTGTTAGGGTAATAATTATCTACTAGTGCGAAGAAGAGTTAAAGTAACAGATGGAATATTTTCTGCAGATTTGTTAATTGATTAAATAGTATTTAATAGACTATTCAACCATGATGTATCGTTTAGGCTACATATAAGTTTCACTAAATTCTTAAGGATTTTTTATAAAATAAAAACAAGATTGATTTAGGAAGAATGATTGAAAATACAGTTTCGATTTTTCTCACATTTTTTTGTCTGATAGAAAAACCATTTTTCATGTTTTTAGGAGATAGATGTATTTTTCTTATATGAGATAACATTACATGGTTTATTGTCAATAATACTAGTGTATTTATCTGATTTTTCTCGGTGTTTTTTTTTTCTGTTTATAGAATAATATTGTGTCTTTCTACAAAATCTAAGATACATCCAACTGAATTTGATTTAACTTTATCTTAATTATTTATTTGATGAGGTTGCAATCAACAAGTTGCCTTGTTTTAAATTTCAAATTTAACAACCTGATAACAACCAAAATATATATAAATATTCTAACCGAATATGTTAATGAACACTTCCATTGAACTGTTTATTTCATTATAAATGAATCATTTTCTGAATTGTTAGAGTTCTTCCTCAATTTCACTAACAAAAACAAGGAGAAATACGCTTATAATAATCTCGATTGCTTTTCATTTGGTAAGATCATAACTGTAAGTTGTCTTAATTAAATCCTTAATTAGCTTCTTAGTGGTTAAAACTAAAACCTAATAATTTTAAAAGTACTTTAATACTTAAAATAAAGCAAACAAAATTAGCTAGTGTGAACTGTGAAGTAAAATATAATAGGAAGTGCCGTGTGCATAAATTATTGCCGTTCTTAGATATAAATTTGTTGTATTTATTATTTTACATTATTTTGAGTATGATTTGTAATGTCGTTTAACATTGTTAAGTTACAGCTAATATTGACTGATTCCTACAATGTTTTTTCCGCATTTCCAAATATCTAAATAAATAAAATGAAAAAGAAACACATCAAAAACTAAAAGATCTCAGTGGTTATTCCGTTGGCGCGTGGGAGAATGTTTGTTGTGGTTCTACAAATTATTCGAGTTGTTTAATTTTTTTTTTCCGACGGCACATAAAAAAGACTGTAGTTAATTAGGTTCCGTTCAAAGTTGGGCCTGTTTCAAATTCTGCATGTTTCGATTTTTTTAACATACGGCCCACACTATCACATCAAGGTTAACATATTAAATAAGTGAATTAAAGTAATAAAATGACAATGACAATTTAGAGTCAATGAGCTATGACTAATGAGTAGCGTGAACAATTTCTTTTGGTTTTTTCTTTAAGAAAATCAAATAATGTTGAAATCAGTTTTCACGAGGCCAAAAACTCAGACGTGGGGGTAGTACTTCCTCACTAAAAATCTGTCAAAATCAATGTAACGTCAATAAAAATCATCGTAGCAAACAAACAGTATAAAACAGTACCATACGTACATGTCGGGACAAAACAATCAAAACGTATTAAATAACATATTTTAAATAAGAAACTAAAAACACCAGAAAGTCCATTTTATCGACATCTATAACTCGTAATAGAGAAAGATGTTATTGAAGTAAGAAATTGCTTTTTTGTAGTAGTCATCATCTCTTGAACCTCTGCTTCTGATCAGACCTATTAAAAGGATTGTGTGGTTAATGTTCTAACTTAACTTAGTATTGATTGTTTAGTAAACTCTCAAAACACCTAACATTACTACCTAAACCAATTCCAAATCCCAAAAAAACACACAACTAACACCATAAGCATTATTAAGTAAAGAACCAAACAAAAGTAATTATTCCACATGTCCTGATATAAAATTTTAAAGCCAGATAAGTATTTTAAAACCAAAATGGTTTTAATTATTCTGAAAACCGAAATAACATTATAAAAAAAAGCAGCCACATAGCAAAATAAACTCTCAATCCTCCTCCTCCCCTTCAGTCTCGGAATCAGCGCTCTGAAGCCACACCGCAAAAGGCTTCACATTCTTCCAAACAGGCGAGCTCTTATCAACTCCGGTCAGACCCTTTTGGTACCATTCCAACACAAACTCTTCCTCAATAACGTCAACATCGTACAATGCTTTAAGAACATGAGCCACCTCTTTACCCACCTCCTCGTTACCTTTCTTTCCAAAGAAAGATCCTATAGAGTTGAGCAGAAGCATCTGTGAACCTTCCTCTTGCGTTGCAGCCACAAAGTACCTCTTCTTCTCAGTCACTACATCTGCAAAATCTTTAACCACACCATCAAGTAGAGCGTTGAAGAGTGCGTCCATCACATCTTGAGGAGGCTCAGAGAGGGAGGAGATGAAAGTCTTGAACTCGCTTATAGGTAAACCTTTCTTCAGAAACTTTTTAATCTCTTGGACGAGACTCTTCTCCTCTTCCTCTTCTTTAACAGAGAGCATCACCAATTCAGCAGTAGCAGCACTCAACTGCTCCTTCATTCTCTTCTCAGCAGCTTCTCTTGAAGTATCCGTCTGCCACTGGATACCATCGTCGTCATCATCTTCATCATCATCAGCCACCTCATCATGCTTAGGGCTAATATCCTCATCAGAGGAATGATTCTTAACCGCCTTGGAAGAAGCCTCCTTCCCATTAGAAGTCCCTTTCTTCTTAAGCTTCTTCATCGCCTCATCAGCAGCCTCACCTTCCTTAAGCCTCTCCTTCTCAGCTCTCCTCATAGCCTTCTTATCCTTCCCACCCTTCTTCGCCTCCGGCGGATTCTTGAGAATAAAAGTAGTCAACTTATCCCTCATATCACACTCAGAGATAAACCCACAAGCAGCACACTTCAAATTCACCATCTGACTCTTTGTAATAAGAATCTCAGTCTCAGGGTTCCCACACCCATAACACTGAACATACCTCTTGATAAAAGCCTCAAGCAAAGAAGCAAGCTTACTCGTACTATGAGCACCATTCACAAGAGAAGTCCCAGTCTTCTCATCAAACTTACTCTGAGCACCCAACTCACAACCAAAGTACTTGGTCGTGTAAGAAGGAGGCCTCGCCAAGGCCTTTGCAATCTCAACGTTGTTGACGATGTTAGTCTTGATGCCGTTACCTTTGCCTTCGGTCTTGGTAACCATCTTAGGCATCTTGTACCTGTAAAAGGCATCGTTACGGTTGGAAGCACCAATGTTCTGGAGCGCCATGTTTGCTGTGTTAAGGGAAGTGGTCGGAGAGAGGAGGAGTCTTGGTGGGTTTGAAGATGCGGATGGAGGAGCTTGTGGTGGTGGTTCTTAGCTCTGGATGTAGGATAGTGTTCTCCAAGCAACCAGATAGATAGCAAAAAGGTGAAATCTTTTCAGACATAAAAGAACTTTTCGTGTCTTCTTCCACTTAAAACGTGTCAAAGCTTCAAACTTTTTAACTCCTGTCAACAAATAAAAAGCAAATTAAATGTAAATCTAAAAAATTACTGTAACCCAAGATCAGATCTATCAAATTAAAAACAATATACAAGAATTCAAAGACCGTACACGAGTTATGTTCTGTAACTAAGGGAGAATCGAAATCTAAGAGACTATAACGATACGAACATCAATCGTTAACGAGATTTCAATGATTAGCTAATTGGGAGATTTCAAACCAAAGACCTCTCTAATAATCTAATTATCGCATAAAATTTAAAGAGTAATCAACACATAAAGCTTACACAAGGATTTGGAGGAATACCTTTGAATCGGGAGACGAAGGAATCGAAAGCTGAGGGGATGAAGAAGATTTAGATTTGGGAGAGAGGCGTGGGTTTGTTTGTTTGTTTATATAAGAGGGAGAGATTGGGGGAATTAGGGTTAGCTTCCACGAAAAGGAAAGATTTTTAACTTTTTCCGTTTCTTATTATTTCCTTCTCCGCAAGTAATTACTTCTAGTTTTCCTTTTCATTTTTAAAAGAAAATTATGGGAAACAAAATTCAATTCAATTCAATTCAGTTAATGTTGATATTTGTGTAATACAGTAAAACCTGAAACTCTATAAATTAATAGTTGATAAATTATTTTTTTTTGAAATTAATAAATTTATCTCTTTTAATTTGGATTCAGTTTAAAATTTGATACAAATCGATAAAATAATAAGATAAAATTTTTAAAAATCTTATGTAAATAAAGCATTAAAATTATAAATTAATAGTTTTTATGTATACATATTTTATATAAATTAAAAACATTTATACTGTTTGCTTTATATTCACAGTAGTATTATCTTTATATTTTCTTAATACATAATATATTTGAGATTTAGTAATATATATCTAAAATCATATTTAAATTATATGCAATATATAAATTATATAAACCAAATAATATAAATAAAATTAATATAAATGTCAAAAAAATTTAAATAATGATTAAATGTTATACATTAAAATCAAATATTTCATATCTTAAAAGAAATATATCTTAAAATAAGAAAAACTAAATAAAGAAATTTTGGTAAATTAATATTTTTATAAATTAATAAATTTCAAAGTTCCAACATTATTAGTTTATAGAAATTTTACTGTAGTATACATAATTATAATATTTAAGATGAGGTGATTCTTCTATTCTTTATTTTCTTATAAGTTTTTGATCAGTTTTTTATCTCTAAAAAGGGAATAATATAATCCATTCAAAGAGTTTGATTTTTATTTTCTCACAAAAATGACACTTTCGGATCAAAATTAAAGACTTTTTAGTCTTTTCTAAATCTATCCACAGCATATCACATCAACGTTTCTTGTGAGGGTTTGCAAACTCAAATAAAAAGAAGCAAATCACTAATGAACTTATCTACATGTTAAGCAAAGCCCATGACATGAGGGTAATATTTGTATAAGGCCCATAAACCGCACATTACGGCGTCTGCGGCGTGAGTCAATGCGGTCGACGACACGCATTCTTCTTCTTCTCCTGCCTAACCATATTTGACGGTCTGCTTTGAATCTTTTCATTTCTTCAAAATGTCTTTTCTTTTTTGACAATTCCTCTCCGACACTTTCGTTTAGATCTCGTTCTTATTATAATAAATAAAAAGTATATTATACGGCATCATTGTTCATTGATGGACATGCACTTCTATCATGTTAGCTGCTCTATTTTCCTATCCAAATTTCCCCAATAATTCCATTTTATTAACATTTATAATTTGTTTGAGTAAAACAATAGTATGGTTCATGTACACACGATTATCTCAATCCTAATTCTCGTGACTTTCGTGTACAATAGTCTGGTTCATGTACATTATTAGTCCTTTCATAAATTAAATACCAATCAACTCTTTATATTTTTTCATGTAATTTTATTTCTATAAAAATTAATGACGTGGCATATTCGACGGTGTTAAAGACATTACAAAAGACATAAAAAGTGTAATAAAAGTTTTTATATAAGGAAACTTTCTACTTTCATTTTCCCCTTTTCACATGAAACTTCATCACTTTGAAACATTCCTCGATTATCTCTCCTCTCTCTATAAATCTGTCATCTCTCTGATCTCACACTATCTCTCTCTTTCTCTCTCATTTCAAGGTCTCCACGATGAAGCACAAAGTCTCGAAGAGAGTCATCTCTCTCAAATGGGTCCCCTTCATCTGCATCTCTTTCTTCGTCCTCGGAGCCATCTTCACCTCATGGTCTCATAAAGCTTCCACCTTTATTCTCCTTGCACTCATCCTTGAGCTTCTTTTTTTATTTTCTTTAATGGGTTTTTTGGCTTTGTGTGTGTGTGTTTCAGGTCATGGGAGCCGTCTTCTGATTCCGGTAGTCAGCTGATCTCACAGCGGCATCGTGACCATGAACTCCAGATTTTATCTGACGATTGTGACCATAAGAAAGTATGTTTCTTGATTCATTTTAAGTTTAATTTAAATGATTAGTGATTTAATTCATATTTTTCAGGAGTTCAATTGAATGATTTTTACTTCTGAAATGTTGAAGATAAATATACTTTTGTTTCCAAAGAGATTTAGGTTTCTGAGCTATGTATGTTTTGATTTTTTGCTCAAATGCAGAAAGCTACGCAAGAAAAGGATGTAATTAACCAAGTTTTGAAAAAACAAGAATCAATACAGTGAGTGCTAAAATGAGCTTTTCATAGATATGTTATACTAGTACTTAGTATCTATCTATCTATATGTGTGTCTTTGGAGTGTTGACAGGTCGCTAGATAAGTCAGTTTCAACGCTTCAAATGGAGTTATCTTCTTCTACAAGGACCTCCTCACAAGAGACGGTTGATGATTCCTCTTTAAGCGGAGCTAACCCGAAGAAGAAAGTGTTCATGGTTATGGGAATCAACACTGCATTTAGCAGTAGAAAACGGCGTGATTCACTCAGAGAAACATGGATGCCTCAAGGTTTATACTGATACTCTCCTTAAAATCTGATATGGTTGTTCACAGTTTAGCTTCTCAAATTAATATATTTGGATATGTTACAGGAGAGAAGTTAGAGAAACTGGAGAAAGAGAAAGGGATTGTCATCAAGTTCATGATTGGACACAGTGCGACTTCAAATAGTATCTTGGATAGAGCTATTGATTCAGAGGATGCTCAACACAAAGACTTCCTTAGACTGGTGAGACAGTTAACAAGGAATCTTCTAAAGAAAGAATATAGTTTGTTCACTTCTTTCTTATTTTGCTTGCAGGAGCATGTTGAAGGATATCATGAACTCTCAGCAAAAACCAAAATATTCTTTTCAACAGCAGTAGCGAGATGGGATGCAGAGTTCTATATCAAAGTTGATGATGATGTTCACGTTAATCTCGGTAAACCAAAAAAGAAAACTACTTGTACTCGTATTCTTACCTCAACAGAAAATCAAAAAGGAGAGATTTTAACATTGCCCTTCTAGGTATGCTTGCTTCCACACTTGCTCGTCACAGGTCAAAGCCAAGAGTCTATATTGGCTGTATGAAATCAGGACCTGTTCTTGCTCAAAAGTAATCTCATTGTCCTAATCTTTCTGGTGTTATTTTTTTGTGGAGAGAAGTGTTGAATCAGATTATTAAAAAAAGAAAACTGTTGCAGGACAGTGAAGTACCATGAACCTGAGTACTGGAAGTTTGGAGAAGAAGGTAACAAGTACTTCCGACATGCTACAGGACAGATATATGCCATCTCCAAGGATCTTGCCAAATACATATCCATCAATCAGTACGTGACCTCATCGTAAAGACCCTTCCAGCTTCATTACCGAGTAACTTAGGTTTGGTCTAAAGGGTTTAAACTGTGTGTGTATGTAGGCCAATATTGCATAAGTATGCAAATGAAGATGTGTCATTAGGGTCATGGTTTATTGGACTTGAGGTTGAACATATTGATGACAGAAACTTCTGTTGTGGTACTCCTCCAGGTAAAAGCTCAATTACCATCACACATACAAATTTGAAGTAAATCTCCCTCTTATCCGTCTTATAGTTTTGCTGATGGTTTATCTTCCTTTTGTTTTTGCATTTGCATAGATTGTAGATGGAAGGCTGAGGCGGGAGATGTGTGTGTGGCGTCATTCGAGTGGAGCTGCAGTGGTATTTGCAAGTCGGTAGAGAGAATGAAGATAGTCCATGAAGTGTGTAGTGAAGGAGAAGAAGCTGTTTGGAATGCTCTTCTCTAAAAGAAAATGTATCAAACCCTCAACACAAAGCTACTTTGACAGTTGTTAAGAGGAGATGACAATTTTTGTAAAGAACCAAAAGGTATACAAAATCTCATATACTGGAGAAATCATCAAGTACTTTAAAATGAAGAATGGCTTTTTTTTTTTTTTAACATATGTGCCCAAAAGACTCTTCAAGTGTTGGCTTAGTTCGAGAAGAAACATATCTCTCTGCCTCCTCTGTTGTGATATATAGTTTTGCCATTTATGCTTAACAGAAGCATGCCTGATGAGACATTATTGTGATTTTTCAAATTTGCCTATGCTTGATCACTATACTATTTTTACCCAAAAATGGTACTATATCAACCTAATTATATCATATATAGAAGATATATTCAACTGAGAATTTGAATTGATTTGTATTAAAATAACAAATTCATTAGCTATATATGACAAATCTAACGACTTTCAAAATACAAAATACAAATTTCAAAATACTAACACAATTTCCCACTTTGAATTCTTTTCTTTGTAGTCTCCTCTTGCTAATCAGAGTTCAATCACTATATAAAGCATCATACAAATTTTAAAACCAAACAAATCTACGTTTCGATTGATTTCATCGTCCGTGCATCTTCCATAAGTGTTGCGTCTCCAACTTCTCGGACATATCCCAACGTCCTGTGCCGCCGTTTCCATGGCCCGAAACGTTCCCTTTATGGTAAAGGGAACGTTAACCAAAACAGACGTCCCATGTGCTTTATCACACCTTAAGAAAGAAGCCTTTGTGGTTGATTCACTTGTCAGACGAGTCCTCGTCCTTCTCGTTGATTGGCTTATTATCCTCTTGCAAGCAATCAACAGGAATATAAAAGTAGCCCTTTGGGAGCCGCCGATTCTTAAAAGAAGCTTCATCCGATGTCATCACAATCTCCTTCGCAAATGTTTCTACATGCTGCTATCATCAGTTATCCAAGTGTATATATATAAGATGTCGTCTCATGAATGAGCTTTTGCGTTTTAGCAGTAAAAAAAAAAAAGTGTCCAACTTACAATGCATGTTAACTTACGATAAAAAGATTCTTCTCACCTTCTTGGGCTTTGATTCTTCATCTCCTCCATCCTCTGAAACACTTGGTGAGACTATACAATGTTTTCGTGGAACTGTTTTCCCGGAAAATATTTTGCTCCTACCCTTGGAAGTAGCACTATCGTCGGTTTTCTGATCAGTATCCATTGAAATTGGACCTTTGCCTCGGCGCTGCTTAACAGAGGCTGTGCTGTCAATGGTGATGTCATCTGATCTCTGTATTGCTTCACTGCCAGATATATTACTATCTTGATGACCTTTTATTGATGTTGTAGCTGAGTCCGACGAAACTTCTGGAAGAGAAAATGTATTACGGACTGGTAATGAACGTGCAGCGTGGTCCCTTCTGGCAGCAAGTATCTCATGTGAGGAGATAGCCAACTCTCGCTGCAAATATATATACAAGTATAGATGTCAAGTGCCCATTTGTTTATTTTTGTTTCAATGAAAAGAAGATTTAGTTTAATAGCTTACTTTTAACTTCTCCCTCTTCACTATCCGCTCGCACAGAAGTCGTAACCTCTCAAGTTCAACCTGTAAGAGATGAGCAAATAAAATAATTTGTAAGAGAGAGAACAGAACATGGTTAACGTGGCAATGGAAAAACAATTTGCCTTGGCTAGAAACTCCTTACCCTATAATGCTTGAGACTTTTTAGCCCCTCTGCCCCATGTTTTTGAGATTCGGCCTGCCAACACAGTCAAGAGAGATATAAGCAACCTTATGAAGCAGGTGGACATCATGAAAATGACTAATAAAGCTATGAATGATTTTGGACCTTTGCCTTCTGTTCCAAGCTGTGCTTCTCACAGTAACCCTTGTGCGGAAGCTTCCCACCACCAATCATATGAAAGCCAGCACTTCTGGCACAGGTGGGGTGAAATGTCGCCTGGCAGTTACCATAACTACACTGCAAAATGACAAATAAGCTTTTGATCACTCTTTGTCCGAGTATTTGACGCTAGATGTCTTTGGATAAAAAAGTAAGGAAGGGTCGGTACCTTAAAGCATGCACCATATATCCGTTGGCATACACAACAAGTGTTGGTGGTTTTGGCCAGTGACTCCTAACAAAGCATCAAATATTAAGCTTTAGCATTTATTATAACATGATACTGATCCTGCATTATAATAGTACAAACCCACCATTCCCTGCACAGGATTTGTTTGCCCCCTTCTGAAGGTTGATTCCAAAGACCACTGCAAGAAATTAAATACCAAATAATTTGCAAGAACTTAAATACCAAATAATTTGCAATGATCATTACTGGATGTAGTACGCAAAAGACACTGCGAATAAAGGAAAATTCACCTCTGCACAAAATGCATGTACCCACTGGCCATTTGTGGCTTTCCTAAAAGCCCCAGTTGTGCCTCCACATAAAGTGCACTCTGTAGTAGAAGACGGGTTTTCCCAAAAATTGAAAGAACCAGTAGATTCCGCACATAGTTCACAGTACCAAGGACCAGTAGATTCTTTAGCGCATTTGTAGCAATCCATGTGAACAGCAACCTGTAATTAGAGCATGACATGTCTTATCACCGTGGTTAAAACATACGAAAAATTCACAGGACATGTCTTATCACCTTGCAACTAGAGCACACAACAATCAGGTTCCATATAGTTTCTGAGCGTCTGCAGATATCACAACTTCGTGGATTTTCTGATGAAAAGTCTGGCGTACGATGATCAGACCGCTTCTCAGATGGTGGACCGGAAACAGGCATCTTTAAAAGTGTTTCCTTTGTCTGTGGCACTAGGTGAGCGCTGCCAGTAACTTTACGTCTAGAAGTACTCATCTGTCCGATTTATAACCAGGAAAATGACAAAATTAGAAAATACGGCACAGAAGAAAATAAAACATGGAGGGAAAACTCAAAACATAGCAACAACAACCTCTTGTTGAGCAGGTTCTTCTGCCATATCTTTCCTGAGCGATGTATTCCGAGAAGATGTTGCTGCTGCAGCAGTAGCCGCAGCTAGAACAGCCTGGGCGTCTTTGTGTCTTTTCTCTTTCCTACTTTGCTTTCTTGCCTCCCTGACATCATGGAAGTATTTGTTGACTAGAACATCATCCCATCTTCGTTCATGCTCTTCATCAATCTCCAGGGGCAACTTTTTGGCAACTTCGTAGGCTAGATCGTCTGAAAAAAGGGACCAGCTTTAGAATAATATGACAGAAATTATTATATAGTGCAGAAAACATGAAGAATCGGGACCATGCAAATAACAAAGGGATAAAAAATGACCCGATAGTTGCTTTCTTGAAACTGCGTTGCCAAGTAACTGAAGTTGATAATATAGAAGTTCTCCTTCCACTTCATCTTTGGGAGACAGATCCAGTATGCCCAGTTTCCTAGCTTTAGCTAACTGATCAAAGGTGTCTCTGTCCTGCAGATGTTTGCTTCCGTCTTCAGAGCCTGCCAAATGTTCTAATGTTACCAAATGTCCCAAAAGCTGTGGCATAAATCATAAATTATCTACCATCAGGTTCGGTTGTCATCTTATCCACATAAGAATTAGTGCTGCTTTTCAGGGTCTTTCCCTTGTCCATCTCCGACAATTCTTTGTGGATATAAGGATGAGGATCGAAACCAGGATATGCTTCATGATCACTGAATCATCATAACAAAAAAAGTGATATAGAAGGTAGAATTATTATGTAGCCAAGAGAACAACAGAGACTGTCTCCCAAATGTGTTTTGAAGCTTACAGGAGATCCAAGATAATAGGGCTTGGACAGTTCAAAATTTCACGATTTTGACAACTATCTGGCCTCATGGAAAAGGCATTCTCCACCATTAGTCCAGACGAACTGGGATTTGATTGTTCTTCGAGATCATCTACGCAACGAATCAAAATTATGATTAGCAGCAGCTACCATCAACTTAGATTATCTATTAAGCGTGACAACAATTAGACCATGAAGACAATTCCTCATAAGGAAAACTCTACGCAGCTATGTAGAAAATACTCTATGGAGGATAACAAGCATGGAGGATAGATACATGGGATATGCACGAGAACATAGTGAAAATTAGTCTTTCAAAAAAACACAGTGAAAACTTAGAAGAACGTACCAGAAAGATTGACTGAATTTTTCCCAAGATGACCTTCCTGATCAAGCACTGCTAATTTCTGCATATGAGAAACAAGGCACAATGTCCAAAATCTCATCAGGAGTTCCTAGTGCATAAAAACAAAAATACTGCAGCAGCTACGTTTCAGAAATGGTGAAATATCTAACAAGTAGCAACTCTTTGTGATGCGAACCATGGGAGATTACCTGTTCTTCTGAAGAATTATCAGATGGCAAGTTCCCACTGCTTTCATTTTCCAAAACTGGCCTATTAGCTTTAGCTTCATCAACCATAACACCATTACCGATACAATTTTCAGAAGGGGTACATGTCGGATTCAAGATGTTAGAATCTAGCATCACCATGCCTTCAGTACAGATAGCTGCCCGACGCTCAGATTTAGTAGGTTTCGTACTTTTAAAAGTTTCGCCTTTGTTCTTAGTACCCATGTGTGCATGCTGGCCAAGCCATTTAACTATCTTGCCTAGTAAATCAGGTAACAAGTCTCCATCCTGTAACGCAGAACTTTGAAATCAGTATACAGAAACCCACAATGAGAACACAGACGTTTTAAGCAGGTATATAAGAATTACCGTAAGTTTGGCATTCAAAGCATCAGGATTGACCCCAATCTCTTCAGCCACATCCTTCACATTCACTTTCCCCAGGTCGATCAACTAAAAAATGTTAATCAATGAGCAAGAGAGTCAACAGGTATAGATGATCCAACTTAATAGTATATGCTCACCTTTTTCAGAATCAATCCAAAACTAAGAGACTCGGATTGAATCTTTTCATCATCGGTGCTTCTCCCCGTAATCCCTGATTCAACAATGTCTGTTGCAGGCAAGTTAAATTCTGAACGTGGTGATTCCAGTTCTCGCAATTCACTGTTACTCCGAATATCAGAACGTGTACCTGGTGTTCCTACGTCAACTCCCATCTCATCATTACTTAGCTGATCTCTTACAGATTCTGATGGAAGATGGAATACAGGAGGACGACTATCAGCTGCATTAATATCTCCTTCCTCTATAGGCCTTCCACTTTCTCGAACCTCAGAATGCTTAGAGCAGAAAGCTCGCAGTTCAACCTATATTTTTTTTTTACATTGTTAAAGAATAAACATCACTAATGGCTATGATACCGTTCTGTAAGTAATGAAACTTACTGTGTCACACCCGTGTTTTCCCCAGATTTCTAGCCTATTCCCTGCCTCCCTTGCACATATAGGATGGAAAGATGTTCGGCATGTTGCTATGATCAAGAGATTGTAATGAAGTATCAGTAACTCATCTGGATATAATGTAGAATCGAAGAAAAGTACGACAAGAAGAATGCAGCCATAGAGTTGAATAAGTAAATCAAGTAAGAATATGGGGCGCATAGACATTTGCCTATTTATTTTAGTTAGGTCCAAGCTGTGTACAAATTCACTATCTCAGCAACCCAGCATAGCAAAATATTCATCGACGAACAAACAATATAAAATTAGTTTCATCCGAGATGCAATGATCACAAGGTAGCCTGATATAAAATACTTAATACTCCACTACGGTGAACAGTTTCAACAAAGCATATTCCAGTTAGAAATGATCTAGACAGTTGGGTTAGGGATAGAGTAACCAGTAGCCCTATTTTTTGTCCTACGCATACGCTTGCACAATTGCAAAGTTGTTCCAACTTCTAAGAAAGCAGCAGCTTAAGGAAAAGACCCAGACTATACAACAGAAAATGTCATGACGAGTACCAGTGTTACCCATGGTCAGAAGTAGACAGGATGCACAGAGAGAAACAATACCTACCATTACAACACCGAATGCAAGCACCAGATTTCACCTTGCACACGTTACACAATAACTTCCTGCGAGTTTCTTTTATTCCATGCAAGTTCAAGACTGGCTCCATTTTATTCAAATCTTCTATGTACACCTCAGGCATCCACAACGAACAAAACAGATGAGCAAACTCCGGTGGCCCACCATTCTCAGTTTTTGAGATTACAGGTTTCAGAATGCCACCCTTTTTCGGACAAAGCAAGCATGGTCTTTCAGAATCATTACGACCATCGTCACACCAAGAGCACAACCAAGTCTTATCTGTATCTTCAACCACACCATAGCATTTCTTATGACCTGTAGCTTTGCAGGAAGTGCAAACAATCAACTCGTTTCGATGTTCCTTGGCATCACCAGTGCAGCAAAAATCACATAACAATGCATCCCCTCTGCAAGGAGCAGCAACCACTAACTTCTCCAAACCTGCATCACTACCAAGACGCCTCCTCTTTTTGGATGGCCTTTCTGATGCCAACAAAATCCTATTTCTGCAACCTAAAACCCATTCTAAACTACCAGATGAAACCTCATCCCCCACATTGTCAACACTCATTGCCTCTTCTTTCTTCGACGTTCCTTCAGAAACCTCTTTACCAACAACATCCTCACTCTTAGCACTCGCATCAGTCTCCCTCACTTGTATATCAATCGACTCATACTCCACAGAAGGCACTGAGAAGCAGCTTCTAGAAGCTAAAGACCGTAAAGACGCTAAATCCGACAAAGTTTCCAAATCAGGCAACTCTAACCGCCTAAAATACTCCCCCTGTTCAACCCAAACACTCCCAGCTCTCAACTTCTCCCCCTGCCTAGAAGACTTCTTCTTCTTCGTCTCACCCCCATGCTGTGACTTCTTATGCCGTTTCTTATCATCCTTCTGGTTCAACAAATTCGCCAACGCAATAGGTAAAGTCCCCACACTCACACCTATACTCGAACCATCTTCAGCACCATCATAAGGAGACCTCTCAGAGAGATGCTTACTCGCCTGAGCTAACAAATCGATTCCTAACGAACTCTTACCCTCCTCAAAGCCTTTGTTATCCCTACGAGATGGTCTACAAGGCCTCTCCTCAGCACCACAACCTCCGTCCACTCCCCTACCCATCATCTTCTCCCGCCACTTGCATTGGTCAACGTTCATAACCGACACAAACACCAACCGTAACCTCCCGCGCGGCTCATGTAACCGTAACCCTAACTTCCTCCTCCGAGATAACAAGGGAGGCGAAAAAAAAATCAAAAACCCTAACCCTAATTTCACGACGCCTAAAAAACCTAATTGCCTTACCGTTATCGATTTTCAGATTCGATCGATTGAGGAAAGATACGATTGGGGATTGGGATTAAAGGTGTGGCTAAAGATTAGGGTTTCTTCAAGTTTTTCTCTGGTTCATGTTCTTTCGGATCCTTCACCGCGTTATTTGCAGGTAACAGAGGAACGGTTCATCTTTTCAGAAATTTTTTTTTTTGTTTTTTTTTTTTAATTTCGTGAGTGTATGATAGCGAGGTGTGAGGCGTAGGGTAGCACTCGTGCACCTTCTCCGTTTCGACACGTGGTGGATTACTACTCGTTCGATGAGTCACGAGATACGGACACGTTAATTCATTCCACTCTTTCATAAAAGCGTACCGATATGCTCTTTTTTTCTTTCTTTCTTTTTACCTCCCTTTTCTTGTTTATTTGTTTAATAATCCCTTGATTTGTAGTAAATGTAGATTTTGGTCATTATCTTTTTCAGAAGTTCATTCAGATCCTCTTTTATTATAGTTTTTTACTTTCTGTTTTTGGTGTGTCATCGTAGTGTGTTTGATTAGGACGATACGACTGTTTGCTCCTTGTTGGATTTGCTCTATCAGAGGACAAACACAGCAGAAAAAAAAAAACTTTGATTTTGATTGGTCAAGAAGGAGGAGGATGCAATAATTGCATGTGATGTTGTATACATGCTATGCATTAATATGAAAATGACTCTTTGAGCCCACTAATCAAACTATAACCAGTTATATCTAGAATCCTTTGCCTTTAATATAATTGGGAACAAAATTAGATGGCCAAACTAAGTGACTGAAATAGAATTTTAGGTGGCTTGATTAATGCATATATAATTAGGGGGTAGGATAATTTCATTTATTTATAATGTTATCCAGACATTTCTTGGAAGATGTTGAAATTACCGTATAGTGGTTTTAAATAGGCAAAACTCTTGCACAAATCGACAATTATCAAAAATATATAAATCTGAATAGCTTAGCTTATTTTAAAATGGTAAGTTGTTGACAAGTTATTTGCCTGATAACATCTCTAGAATGTTTATTACCTATCAACTAGGGGTGGGCGTTCGGGTTCGGGTCGGGTATTTTGGTATTGGGGTATAGAATCCGTTCGGGTATTTTTGCATATCGGGTCGGGTTCAAATATTTTTAGTTCGGGTTCGGTTATTTCGGGTCGGGTTCGGATATTTAGATATTGAAAGAAAATTTCAAATTCTTTATTACTTAAGTTTCATGTATTTAAATTTAACTATTAACTTAATTGTTTTTTAAATGTTTAATAAGTTAGACGATTAATAAGTTTAAAAATAAATTATTGAAAATAAAAATCATTATTTTGGTTGTTATTTTTGAATTTTGGATGCAAATTTTCTTTAAAATATGAAATAAAAAGCTTAATATACATTTTAAATGAGTAACAAATTATTATTTTTTACAATTATATGTATATTATCTGATCTTAAATTATCTATAACATTAATATAAATATTTTTAATAAGATGAGACAAATAAACTAGGAATAAATAGGTATATATACATATGTTCGGTTATCTTTGGATACCCGTTCGGGTTCGGATAATACCGTTCGGGTTCGGATATCCAAACTCTCCTAATTCAATATCCATTAGGGTATTTTGCTACTTCGGTTCGGATTTCGGTTCGGATATTTCGGGTCAGGTTCGGGTACGAATTCAGGTATCGGATAAAGTGCCCACCCCTACTATCAACCTATGATATCTTGATCGTTATGTGGAATGATGGTGTGTCGACGTCTATGATCAAGTTTATTTTTTACGTATCCGTTTGTGATTATAATACATGGTGTGGTATAATGTGATGAGATTTGATCTCAGCATCTATCTTATTAAAACAGAAGTACCAATAAAATATACCCCTTAGTTTTTCAAGTTATTTACACAACGATGCCATTATATTTATTAATAATCCTAATTTTTAGTAATGTTGTCTTTTTCAGTTAATTTAATACATTTCTTAAGTTGTTTATTAATTTTAAAAACAAAATCATTTCTGAATATCCCCTAGATTTTCTCATATAACAGTTTATGCTACTGATTTTTTTTCCTAAAAATATAAAAATTTAAATATGAAAATATTAGAAGTGCATAATAACTATAATTTACATATTCAATCACGTTGGACCATATAATAACATATAGTCAACGTTTTTAAATACTTATTTCAGTTATCATTTATGCTTAAAATGTCATATTAAACAAGAATTTAATACATATATATTTCAAAATTATATATTATTATATATAAAATAAATAAATATATTGCAAAAATGTAAAAATAAATCCGCACAGGTGTGCGGGTCAAGCTCTAGTCAAACATTAACAAGTGAGTAACTCATAAGTTTATCTAATTTCTTTTTTTTTTAATTAATATAGGGATATCTTAAGCCCATGGAGAGGCCCAGACTAATCCCAAAGGAGAGGTGTAGCCCACGGATAGACCTCTCTCCGAGTATTCAAATAGTTTATCTAATTTTTTTTATAGTCACTTTAGTCTTTTTTATTTTATTTTTTCACTTTAGTCATTTCGCTAAAACAAGTTCAGACATTTTATTTCACTATTCATTTTTGATGTTTATAATTTGTATTACTACATAAAAAAATGATTTACAGTCGAAAATGAAAAAAAAAAAATCAGAAAACGAAGGGTTTTAACTTATTTTGTTTTAATTATATTTGACTAAATACATGTCGAAAATGATTTACAGGCCTCTTGTAACAAGGAGGAAAAAGGGCCTAAGGCCCACACTATATCAAAAGCACATCGTACCCCCATCATACTAGCGAGCGACACGATGATTTTGGATGAGCAAAACGGTTGCGTCAAAATGACGACATTTGGAATCTAAACCGCAACTTTAAAAACAAAAAACAAAAAAAATAGTCTCTGCCTTTCTCTTGCGTACGTCAATTTGCACAAGCAATCGCTTTTTCCCCATTTTTCGAAAAAAATACATCCTCGAAGCTCCGAGCTCTCTCCTCCTCCTCCGCTAACCACCGTGATCTCTGGTACTTTCACACCTCTCACCTTCTCCGCATCCATCAACCTATTAAACTCTTGAAAATTCCCCAATCTCGTTCACGAAATTTGTGGATAAGATTCTCTACAAGTCTCCGATCTCCCATTTCGGGAGAGAGATCTATTGGTTAGGATTGAAATCAATATTTGTATGATCATGTCGAACATTGTACTGTATGATTCGTCCTGATCGTTTAGATATGGATCGATCGAGAATTGGCGTTAGTATTGATGCGTTTGCTTTGTTCTTATGCATGAATTATTGATGAATTGCTACTTCAGATCTGGATCTAACCGCCTTGTGATATTGCTATAGATTAACGCTCACTCTATTATTGCTTAGAAGTTAAGTGTAGTCATCTTTGTACCTTGTGCATGACTTGATTTATCAGATTTTCGGATCCGGATCTGGATCCGGTTGTCAACTCTTCGTTTATATCCCTATAACAAGAGTAATGATTGTTGTTGCTTGTTGGTTACCAATTCACAGATGTGTTACAATTGTGTTTTTGATGGTTTCACTGGCTTACACATCTTGTACCAGACTATAGGCGATTTAGTAAATGTTTTAACTAATTTTTCTTTTATAAAGTTGGGAGCTTATATTAAAATAAATTAGAGGCTATATGCCAAAAAATAAAATAAAAGCTTACACTAAGTAGAATTGTGTAGTTTATAATTTTGGTCTCTTGTGCTCATTATGAAAAACTTGTTCAGTTTATAATTTTGGTCTCTTGTGTGTTGAATAGGTTTTGAATTGATTGATCACAAATGGGAAAAATCAAGAAGGTGAATCGTAGGGCTCGAATTGCATCTCCTTACTCATCACCACCGCCTTGTTGCAAGAAAGAATGGGCAGGGTCGACTTGTCCAGTATGTTTGGAGTCTCCACACAACGCTGTTCTTCTCCTTTGTTCGTCTTATCACAACGGTTGTCGCCCTTACATGTGCGCAACAAGCAGCCGTTTCGCCAATTGCCTTGAGCAATACAAGAAGTCATACGGTAATGAAGACTCGGAACAGCCTCAGCTTCTGTGTCCGCTATGCAGAGGTCAGGTGAAAGGTTGGACTGTTGTGGAGGATGCAAGAGTGCATTTCAACTCCAAGAGAAGGACTTGTATGCAGGAAAGCTGTTCCTTTGTTGGGAACTTCAAGAAGCTCAAGAAACACATGAAGGAGAAGCATCCACATGCTTGTCCTAGGGCTATTGATCCGGCTCTTGAAACCAAGTGGAAGAGACTGGAGAGGGAGAGGGACAGGAGAGACGTGATAAGCACGATTATGTCGTCGATTCCAGGTGCTGTCGTGTTGGGAGATTATGTCATAGAGCCGCGTAATGGAGGTGTTTATGATGAAGATGACGAAGATGATTACAGCTCAGATGATGATATGGGCAACAATGGTGTATTGGATCTGGATTCATGGCAAGGACAAAGCAACCATCATATACGGTTTATAGATATGGATGCAAGTGACTTTGCCTCGTCTTCTCGATCTCAAGCTTCTCCAAGCCGTTTGCTCTTGCCAAGGAACCAGAGAGGCGGCGATAGAGGTCGGTAACTTTGATTTAACCGAAGCGAGTTCATGTTTAGTCTCCTCTGCATATAATCTCAAACTCTCTCTCCAGCATTAGAAATTGGCTTCCAAATTTGCAGGAGCAGTATAGAAGGCTAACATGACTTAAGCCAATTAGCCATTCATGAAATTGATTTAAAAAAAATAGCAGTCGTCTCTTTTCTTTTTATTTGTTTCAATGTAAATTATGTATTCTCTGTAATTGTATCATTTGTTTCTGCATTGTTGTACTCTAGTGAGGCATGAGATCTTATGCCTTTTCGCAATTTCATTTTTATTTCATGTTTCTGTGTATTGATTTGATTTTCATTAAAAGAAGGTTATGTGGAAAGAAAAGCCGTAATCATTCTCACGGTCACAACTTCAGACAAAAGTGTGTGTTCCTGATTCTTGTGTTTGTCTTCATGAGTCTCTCCTACTTCTTATGCAGCCGCGGGACAATCCTCCAACCACATGTTTAAGCTTTTTCTTCATTCAGAAAAGGGAGAACAATATTAATTAAGTATAGTTTAAAACAGAACAATTTCTATGAAGAAAAAGATGAACTGGAATACAAAGTAGTACCCAAAGATCTGAATTGTTATCTTTACTTTTTTGCTTCTCCCTCTTCTTCATCTTGAGCAAAATGTCTGTACTTCCACGTCCCATTTTTCCGACGAAGTGGCCGGAGAAATGGTATCCGGAACTTGCTCATCATTTTTCTTATCCACCTTAGTTTCTTCTTCTGCATTTTTAAAAATAACAAAAAATGTTATAAGTGTGTTTCAAAAAAAACAAAAAATGTTATTAAGTATTAACTTAAATCGGACTTTAGCTGGTTAAAACAATAATTAATCATTTATCGTGAAGAAAAAAAAAACTGATTAAAATAAATAAGGTTTAGTAGTAAGAAGTTTTAAACTTTGCATAGGCTACTCTAAGTAGTCCACATCAAAAATCAGATTATCCAGACGCAACTGCTTACTTGCTCGTTAATCTTTGCGCAAGTAAAAAGGCAAATCAATAAATAGATGACTTCATAAGTGATAGCCCATTTCCGGCCCATTTAAACTCTAAAATCTCAACTCATTACGTCGATGAATAACAGAACCGAAAAAAACTTAAACTAAAAATCAGAGATATGTTACCTTCCGCTCGGGTTTGTTGTTACTCGCGACGGCGTCGTCGCCTTCCGAATCTCCGGCGAGACTTTCAGCTCTAAGCTGACGAATATACGCTAACAAATTCGCTCTCCTTCCCATCTCACGATCCCACGTACATTCATTTCTACGTCTAACTCGAAACGATCGTGCGGTCGTCGTTTGACGATCAACGTACACCGTGATGATCACACCGTGCATGATCCTTGGATTTTCATCTCCCATTTGCATTCTTCGAAAATGTTTTTTTTTTCTCGACTCGAACCGTTGCTGTTAATTAGGAGGAAGCAACAAATCTCTTTCTTAATTAATCGGAATGAGACATATCCATTGTCAGTCTAACTACTCCACGGTCAACGAACATAAACAGCTGAGTCAATATTTCATTCATAATTATCAGATCATGGTACGTAAATGGTTTACCACTAACATGGATCTAATGGGCCTAATGGGCTGCTTACATTAGGCCACGATATTATTAATTACAATTTGTTTGCAATTTTTTTTTATATGCTATAGTTTAAAGATACATGTATTATACAAGGAAGAGGCTAAAATGTTATTAAAATGCTGAGAAGAATCTCACAACATAAAATTTATAATAATTTGACTAACAACAACAATTTTCCAAAACTGTGTGTGATTATTTTAAAAACTGGATCTTTGTGGTTGAATAAATAAGCAAAAGAAATAATCGCTCGGACCACTGCTTTATGATATGATTTTAAACCATTAGAGGTTAATTTCAATTAAATTACATAAAATTAAATCACTTTAACTTGACAGTGCTTTAGTTAATTATTTTAGTTAGTTATATAAATGTCCATTATTAGTGTAAAATTCATAAGTGATAGCCCATATCCGGCCCATAGAGTGAGCTCGTCTCTGATGCTCATTCCTTTTTTAAGTGTTAAAGCTTAATTTTATTTATTGCCTTCTTATTAGGTGCCTACTCAATGGGTAATTGGTTCCATTATTCCCATTGTTGGTGGAGTTAGCACTTGCTTAAGTGACAAATTATATAATCGGTGTAAATTCCTAGGGTAATTAGTCTTAAATTCGTCATGTAAACGTCCATTAATAGTGTAAAATTCTATCATCATTGTACTTATGGTTACGCATACCAAATCTATGAAAAATGTATTTTGTGAGTCGGAAGAGTACTATATGGTTGGTGGCGAATGCTTTGGTGGGTCTCTCCTCAGACATGGAGAAGGCGCATATGGAGTTGTGTTCTTCATATCGTGGTATATACATCTAAGTTCAATGGTGAAGTATGTTTTCCGTCGAGACGATTTATTTGCTGCGTGCGCCGTAATTCTGGACATCTGTCTCACGATGTTTGTTGTTGTTCCTGTGAAATGTCTAAAAGTTTGGCAATTTACGTTTCTATTTACAAATGGGTTTGTAGTTTTAATGTTTAAGGTTAAAAGAATTGTTGAGCCGGAGAGATGGGATTAATGTTCATGGAGATCTGGCCCATTTGGTTGAGGAGGTTGTGGCGGCGCCTATTCAGGAAGGTCGGGGCCATGTGGTTGTTGAGATAGAGGAGACTGAGGAGGATGAAATGGAGGCTGAGGCTGGGGCACAAGGATTCTGGTACTATACCAGGTGCGGTTTGTGGTTCAACTGTGGTTTGCACGGTTTGTGGGATAAATGCGGATTTGTTAGACAAAAATAGTGCAATTTTGATAAAATCAAAACTCATTTGCATCTCCCATTTGCATTCTTTGAAAATATTTTTTTTTTCTCAACTCGAATAGTTGCTGTTAATTAGGAGGAAGCAACAAATCTCTTTCTTAATTAATCGGAATGAGACATATCCATTGTCAGTCTAACTACTCCACGGTCAACGAACATAAACAGCTGAGTCAAATTTCATTCATAATTACCAGATCATGGTACGTAAATGGTTACCACTAACATGAAACTAGTGGGCCTAATGGGCTGCTTATATTAGGCCACGATTTATTAATTGCAATTTGTTTGATATGCTATAGTTTAAGATCTCCTACATATTAATTGAGAAACATTTGAAAAATTGTAACTTCAATTTTGTAATAATTAAAAAAAAAATACATGTTTACGTGTCACTCAATTAGGTAGTCAATTACATTCAATTGAAAAATAAGTAGATCCACATTCGATTTTTATATGTCGCTAGATATATTTGTTGGTCAAACTATATGATATGATATTTATGATAGAAGCATTTATGATTGTTCTGCTATATATAATTACTATTTATTTTATTTCCTTAAATAAAAGCTACGGAATTACCACAAATGATATATATATATATGTATATAACAATTAGTGTTTCTAATAATAAATATTTGATAACAATTTGTATCTCCTCCATCATTTTTCTTTAATTTTATATTATTAAAATAAATCAAACAATCAAATTAGCTATTAAATTAAACTTTAGATTTTTTTCGTATATGTTATATTTTGAATTTAAAAAAAAAGAATAAATGACTAAAACTATTAAAATTATTATGTTAAAAATTAATGATCAATAGTTTAACATTTTTATTATAAAAAGATACACATGATTTTAAAACCATATGAGTAAAAAGTATCATTCAATAATAAAAATATATCTATATATAGATTAAACTATATACCATATAAGATTACATACTTATTTTAATTTCAAAAATTTCAATGAATTTTCAACAACATTTATAAATTATAAACGTATTAAATTTTTCACATTGAAAATTTTTGTTATCAATGATTTAAATATATTAGTTCTTTTTTAATTTTCTATTTTTTACAGATATTAACACAATCGATAATATGGTTATTTTTGGTATATACCATACAAACCGAATGTATGTGATCATTTTATAAAAACCGTAAGATTTGGATATGGTTTGATTTATAATCGATTAAACTGAAACATGTAAATATGTATATCTATTTGTTACATGAGTTGAACTATAATTATGATTTGTAAATCACTTGAAATATAATTAACTAACAATTTAATGCAACTGAGACTTCTTCTTTTCTTCGTATTTTTTTTATCTTTTTTTCTTTCTTTTTTTAATAAAAACTAAATCGAAGAAATTATAAATTTGATGGACAACAATTAGTTGAAATTTTTTACAATTTTTTTTAATCTTTAAACAAACAGAGTTGTGTTCAATCGAAGACATATTAATTTGATGAACACTAAATATGGAAGAATATAAAAACTTTTCTTTCATGTTTCTGTTTTGTTTTTATTTTTATTTTCAAAATTTAGAGATTTAATATTAATTCTAGATTTGATCATTTTATTAGATCATAGAAGTCTTTTTTTGTTTTTTATTCTTTTAGTTAAATATCTAATATTTTTTTAATAAATGACTTTTTGACAATATGACTCTAAATATGATCATGTTATTTATTTTTATAATATGTAATATGATTTCAAACTAAATAATGATGTATTTTGCTATAAAATTGAATAAACTGAAAACCAATATATAAACCAAATTAAACTGAAGTAAATATGGATTTAGAATAGTAGTTATATTTTAATAACCAAAATACTGAAACCCGATATCCAGATTGAACATCCTTAATCTAGATGAAACCGAATTTTTGTTTCATTTTCCAAAACATATTAATAAAAATAATAACTTCATCCCGCGCAAGGCGCAAGTCTTATCCTAGTACATGTATTATACAAGGAAGAGGCGAAAATGTTATTAAAATGCTGAGAAGAATCTCACAATATAAAATTTATAATAATTTGACTAACAACAACAATTTTCCAAAACTGTGTGTGATTATTTTAAAAACTGGATCTTTGTGGTTGAATAAATAAGCAAAAGAAAACTAGTAATCCCTCGGACCACTGCTTTTTGATATATGCTTTTAAACCATTAGAGGTTAATTTCAATTAAATTACATAAAATTAAATCACTTTAACTTGATAGTGCTTTAGTTAATTATTTTAGTTAGTGATAATAATTAGTGTGGTATCTTCCACCACTTCACAGTCTTCAGTCTTCACAATAACAAGAAATTTATTATAAAAGATATGAAAATATTGCAATAAAGAAAAAACAACAAAACAGAGGGGGATTATCCAGGGGAGGCGATATGCGTTAATACGACCCTTGCCATTGCGAAATGTGAATGCCAGTTTTACCCCAAAAAAATAGTGTGAATGCCATATAGCTAAAGCCTAAAGCTATATGAAACTGCTCTGATTTTCATGCAGAAAATTTATTATTATTTTACACAATCGTGTGTTGCTTTAGTAGGTTTATTTTATTTTACAATACTGAATATAAGTATTATTATAAATCTTCACAATAACAAGAAATTATATATATAGCATTTAGGTGTGTTACTATTACCCATGTGCATTAAGGGTGGTAGATTAACCCAAAAACGTTGGGCGTTCCAACCAAACTGCACCAACTACACATCTGCTAATTGCTACAATGTAAGTGGCACATTGTTTTAACCGACCAAAACCATACTCTTTTTATTGTTTAAAGTAACGATTTAGAAAGATAAATATAGGAAAACCAGTGATTACTTCTTTTAAAAAGTGGTTGTCTAGATTGAAACTTTATGAATCATGGAGCTTCCATTATAAGATGGTTTCTTAAGTGACTAAATATATTAATTGCACTAAAATATAATAAATCCCATAACGTTATTTTTTTCTTTTACATCATTAAGTTTCAATGTTTTCATTTGATACTTATTGTATCATACAACATTTAATTATTATGCTTGTAATAACATATAGCTAATTCTATTTTTAGTTCCAAAATCTCCATTAGAAAATTTAGCTCCGAGTTAAAACACACAATACTCTTTTTACGGTAATATTCAATACTAGACGTCTGATTAAATTTGACTATAACCAGTAAAAGTGTTCAATTATACAAATATGACGAACAACATATGGGTCAAAATAAATAGCCGTATGTGTTTGGTGTCAAGTGCTTCATTAGGGTACGAGCAACAACTAGGATACAATAAAATATCGTGGAGAATATCAAATTTTACTAATAATTTTGAAACACGGATTAGATACATTATATGTGAAATCAAAAGTGCTGCTTTTAGCCACATTAAAACAGCAACAGCAAGGGGGTTTTATAATTATGATATTTTTTTACTAATTGGTCTCCTAATGGTCAGGATACTTATGTTTGACAATAAGTCAATATTTAACGGTTGTGATATATATTTTGTCTACTGCATCGTAGCGAGAAATATTGGGTGTTCGAAAGAAAAACGACCTTCATGAAAAATGATTTAGTTTCATTTCGAACTAATGTACGAGAACATTTATATTTTATAATTTTGTGCTGTGGTTGTTTTGATAAACCGTGAAAGTTTTGAATCTCCGGTTCTCAAATTCTTGGATTTCTTGAATATTTGGGGCTATTCATCAACACTACTATGTTTAAAATGTACCTTTGATGAAAGTATATTATCGTTTCTTTATATATTTCAAGAAAATAATAGGATAATTACACACATCTTTGTTTTTATGTATAATTGTATATAATATATTATATATATTATCATTTTTTCATATAAACATAAAATAAGTATAAAGGGAAAAATGAATGGATGTAATGGAAATGCAGTAAAAGTGGCTCAAATGGCTACGAAAGGGTCGATGGCTGCCTAACCGCATAAAGATTCCCCAGTTGCCTCCCCTTATTTTCTTTTCTTTTCTTTTTTAATATCTACGGCACTTTTTTTTTGTATGTACTCTTTAGTGACAGTTTATTTCAAAAATATTTATAAAACACAACATACATACACACATATGGCATACGTATATATATATACAATATATATATTGCAAATGCAAGGTAAATTCAATCGTAAAATATTTTTTTCTGAAAGACAGTTGTAAGAAATTGATTTGATTCAGTTCAAAAAAAAAAAGATTGATTTGAGATTACGTGTGCCAAATCTCCTTAGGACCATATCAGACGTATTTTAGTGGTTGTTGTTCCTCTAATATACGGACAAGCTTGCATGTTTTTTTCTGAACCTAAAAAGTTCGTATGTTTTTTTCTGAAAGCTGGTTAAAAAGCTCGTATGTCGCCGACGTCAATAAAATAAAAAGCTACGTTATGTTGTGTTGTGTTGTGATGCAGAAAATCAATGTATACATGTACACGTACGGTGATACTATATTTTGCATTATCTGTTTACCGTAATGAAGTTATGTATCGATTCTATGGTTACGAAAAATGATTCATTGGATGTATACTTACGACATTATCGTTTTAGTTTGGCTGTGACTCTGTGAGCTCTTCTTGTTAGGAAAACACGTACATAATAGTGTCTTGCAATACTATTATGTACATACGTTAATCCTTGTTAGGAAAACACGTAATTCTCCTGTTTAAATAATTTACAATATTTTAAAAATGAACCTTTTCTATTTCCATATATATGTTGCATTTGCGTTGATTTAAAAACAAAATAACACAAATAGATTATACTGAAAGTAAAGTGATATACGTTCGAAATCTGGAGCATCGGGGAAAAGCTCTTGCATTGCATTGGCTAAGAGGCTCTTGGATAGAAAGTAACTTATCTTTTCAAAAATAAAACATATTATAAAAGAATCTGAAATGGAGATATTATTTTTTAATTATATATTTATTTATAAAATGACAATTAAACTATTAATTTGTTATAATATCAAGTTGATGTAGTTTTTCCAAATTAAAATGTACATTTATTTTTTTGTAGAATATTTAAAAGTATTTGGTCAATTATAGACCTGTTTAACCAAAAAGAAAACAAAAACGAAAAATGATTCGAAGGTGACATGAACAGTCTGAAAATAATCTTGAAAGTTCTATGGTGTAACAGCCTACATTGACAACGATGTTGGTAATAGTTACAAAATTGCCACTAATTACTTGATCGAAGCTCAAAAGTAATTCAAGACCATAGGCAAGATTTTATATAAGAATAATTATATTTTTTTTTTTTCGTGCAACAAGAATAATTATATCAAATTTCGATGTTTCTATACAGTCTCCTCCATGTACTTTTTAACGCTGTGCAACGTTGATTACTGGCTTTAAAACTTTAACCAAGATTGACTCTTGAATATATATCATTCATAAATCGTCGAATGTAAAAAGATAACAAGAGGGTCCATGCGTTCTTACACATATATCATTTATAACGTAATATTAAAAATCCAAAAAAATGACAAGAATGATATTACGACCCGCCCCTTATTTGCTTGGCCGTTGGTGATCCCATGCGCCACTTAACCTCCAAAGTCTTCTCCCTAATCTCCCTTTTGAGCTCTGTTTAGTTTAATTCTTAATTGCGCTTTATCTTCTTAATCGTCATGTAATCCTTCTAAATCTCGAGATATTTACTTTCTCGACTTAATTAATTTTTTTGTTCTACAATAGACAAGTCAACAATATGCTCATAGATATAAACAGTTTTATCAGCTACCACCGGAGATTCTCATGAATCTCCAGTGTCTTGTATAGTTACACTAACGTTTGGTATTGATTTAAAGAAATCGAAGTCAAGACGAACAATATCTGTTTGCGAATATGCTGATTATTACCTCTCTTTTATATATAGCCACACGTGATGCAATTTAATCTTTGAGTGACCGACGTCTATGTTTTGCATTCATCAACGTATAAATTTCTGACCGAAGATGATATTAGCGAGTTACGTATTATTTTTTTTTTGTATTTAACGTAGTCGCATCATATCATTTATTATTAAGGAGAGGTTCTTCGTCGTCATATACTTATATATGGACTAGTGTAATGTTGTTATTGCTAGCTATACAGCATTACAGTGTCAGTGTGTGCATATCGCGAAAAGAAAAAAAAAACTATTTAGTTGTGCTGACACGTTAATAAAAAGAACATTAAAAAAAAAACATTTTAGTAGTTAGATTGTTAATTCAAATATCTTCAGATGATGATTTTGGTTGTATTCACGATTGACCTTGTATTAAAAGAGATAAAGTCCATATAAATTAATATAAGTTTTTTTTTCTTGTTAGATCTAAATATGTTATTGGTTAGATGGTTTCTAAGTTAAATAGAACATTGTTTTGCAAGCTAGGATTGACTGACAAAGAAAAACAAAGCTTATATTACGCACTTTTGTAGTGTTTCAAGGGAAGGATTTATCTCAGCTCGAGAAAGGGAAGGTTTATCTTGCCCGTTAATAGTAAGTAATACTCAACAACTGTTTGAATTCAATTTATAATTATTGAAATAGTACATATATGTTCATTCCTTTAAGTGCAATGTTTTTGTTTACCACATGTCCTACTTAGAAGTTTCATATACACTCCCAAATTAGGGGTTCTTTGACTTTTCCAAATGCAAAAGTGTTTTTTCTTAGTTGCCAAATTTTTTTATCTTTCTTTTATTAGTTAAATGCCAATTCATCGGTGCTTTTATACTAACATGAAATTCAAAATGACTACAAACAATTCCAACACAAATAAATGATTTTCAGCCATTTGGATTAGTTTTGTTTTGTCATTTAATTCAAGAAAATAATTCATTAAAACTTACATTTTTAACCTATCACACTGATGATGTTTTAAACTCATCATTACTTGTTGAAATTGTTTTAAACCAACAATGATGAGATATCTATCTTTAAGATAGTCCTAATAAGAAATCTTTGATACATCAAAAGCGCATCTGGTGTAGTGGTATCATAGTACCCTCCCACGGTACTGACCAGGGTTCGATTCCCTGGATGCGCATATAATATTAATTTTTCTGTCAACTTTGAATTTTTTTTTCTATTTTCCGTCACAAAATGAAACTAATAACAAAATAATAATAATACGCAATTTTATGATTTCCCACTTTAAAGGCCACAGCTTAGGAGCAGATGGGCCCCCATACTCAGAGACCACACAAACTCACATTTGTCACAACACTTTTTATTTTTCATTTATTCTATTTATCAATCTCTCCAAAACACCCTATATATACAACCCCATCACCCCATATACAGAAACCAAAAAAAAACCAAAAACCAAAGAGAAGACCAAAAAAAAAAAAAAATAGCTTCTCCATGGCAACCTCCGTCGATAACCGCCACTATCCCCGCCTCACCCCCTCCCTAAACGGCACCGTTGTCCACTCCTTCAAACCTCCTCTTGTCCCTTCTCACTCCCAAGACCAAACTGTCAACACCCTCCCGACCGAAAAATCCGTCGACATCACCAAACAAGACCAAACCACTTACGACTCCAGCGACGACGAGGATGAGAGCCACAACCGTTACGTCTCCTACTACAAAGAGATGCTTCTCAAATCAAACTCCGATCTCGAACCGTCCGTTCTCGACTTACGTGACGAATCCACGGCTGACAACTGGATCCACCGTAACTCCTCTATGGTGCGTCTCACAGGAAAACACCCTTTCAACGCCGAGGCTCCCCTCCCTCGCCTCATGCACCACGGCTTCATCACCCCGGTCCCTCTCCACTACGTCCGCAACCACGGCGGAGTCCCGAAAGGGGAGTGGTCAGACTGGTCCGTGGAGGTCACGGGACTCGTCAAACGTCCCGTGAAACTCACCATGGAGCAGCTCATCAACGAGTTCCCTAGCCGCGAGTTTCCGGTGACGCTTGTCTGCGCCGGAAACCGCCGCAAGGAACAGAACATGGTGAAACAAACCATCGGGTTTAACTGGGGGTCCGCTGGAGTGTCCACCTCTCTGTGGAGAGGTGTTCCTCTCAGCGATATACTCCGCAGATGCGGAGTGTATAGCAAGAGAGGCGGAGCTCTCAACGTGTGTTTCGAAGGAGCCGAGGATCTTCCCGGAGGAGGAGGGTCTAAGTACGGGACGAGTATCAAGAAAGAAATGGCTATGGATCCTGCGAGAGACATTATATTGGCGTATATGCAGAACGGTGAGCTTCTCACGCCGGATCACGGGTTTCCGGTTCGGATTATTATACCCGGTTTCATCGGTGGGAGGATGGTTAAGTGGTTGAAGAGAATAATCGTCACGCCTCAAGAGTCAGACAATTACTATCATTACAAGGACAACAGAGTCCTCCCTTCTTACGTGGATGCTGAGCTGGCAAATGAAGAATGTAAATTTAAATTTACCTTTTTGCTCTTTTATTACAAGAAGTGAAAATGGTAGTAATAATAATAACATTCATGTCTTGTGGCTTGTGTTTGTGTTGCAGCTTGGTGGTACAGGCCGGAGTATATAATCAACGAGCTTAATATAAACTCGGTGATTACAACACCTGGTCACGAGGAGATTTTACCGATTAATGCATTCACGACTCAGAAGCCTTACACATTAAAAGGCTATGCTTACTCTGGTAATTAAAATTTTCTTAATCTTTAATTAATTAAGTACTGGTTAATTAAGATTCTGAATAATTTTTTTTTTAAATAACAGGAGGAGGGAAGAAGGTAACGAGAGTGGAGGTGACTCTAGACGGAGGAGAGACATGGAGTGTGTGTGAGCTTGACCATCAAGAGAAGCCAAACAAGTATGGCAAGTTCTGGTGTTGGTGTTTCTGGTCACTTGACGTTGAGGTTCTTGATCTGCTTAGTGCTAAAGAGGTAGCTGTTCGAGCTTGGGACGAGTCTTTGAACACCCAGCCTGAAAAACTTATCTGGAACCTCATGGTAAACCACTCTTTTCTCTCTTGATTTTTTTTTTTTTTAGTTTATTCTTTTGTGTGATTTGATTTAACTAAAATTATAATTAATATTTTCCTACAACGCTGGAACTACTGTGTTTAGTTATGACTTTCTTAACGTGTTACCTACCATCTTTAGTTGTCTTTTTTTATACAAAATCTTTATTTGTCATTGTTAGACAGTTCAATTAGTGATTAACTATTATTATTATTTCCCGCGGGCAATGAAGATTAAATTTATTCAACAAACAAAAAACATTTGTAAAAAAAATCTAGCATAGTCTGAAAAGAGTTTGATTTTTTTAGAAATACAGAAACGTAAAGAACTTTCATTCTTCTATTAATAAAACTTTTCATTTCTATAAAATTTATAAAACTTAGGCAAGTCTTAATGACGTTTGACTAAATCAACAATGACTTTTGACTTTGTGTTGAAAACAGGGGATGATGAACAACTGCTGGTTCAGGATCAAAACCAACGTGTGCAAGCCTCACAGAGGAGAGATAGGTATTGTCTTCGAACACCCGACCCGACCCGGAAACCAATCAGGTGGATGGATGGCAAAGGAACGTCAACTCGAGAAATCCTCAGAGTCAAACCCTACTTTGAAGAAATCAGTTTCATCACCATTCATGAACACTGCCTCAAAGATGTACTCAATGTCCGAAGTTCGAAAACACAACTCAGCTGAGTCTGCATGGATCATTGTCCACGGTCACATCTACGACTGTACACGTTTCTTGAAAGACCACCCTGGTGGCTCAGACTCTATCCTCATCAACGCGGGTACTGATTGCACCGAAGAGTTTGAAGCCATTCATTCAGACAAAGCCAAGAAGCTTCTTGAAGATTACCGTATCGGTGAGCTTATTACCACAGGGTACGACTCTTCCCCTAATGTCTCGGTCCATGGTGGCTCGAGTGTAATGTCTTTGTTAGCTCCTATCAGAGAGCTAGCTCCTGCTAAGAACATAGCCTTGGTCAACCCACGTGAGAAAGTCCCGGTCAAACTCATAGAGAAGACTTCAATCTCTCACGACGTACGTAGGTTCCGTTTCGCGTTACCATCTGAAGATCAGCAGCTTGGTCTACCTGTCGGGAAACACATCTTCCTCTGCGCCACTATTAACGACAAGCTTTGTCTTAGAGCCTATACTCCGACCAGCACGGTCGACGCGGTTGGATATATCGACTTGGTCATCAAGGTTTACTTCAAGAACGTTCATCCAAGATTCCCCAACGGAGGACTCATGTCACAACACTTAGACTCGTTACCGATCGGTGCGGTTTTAGACATCAAAGGTCCGTTAGGACATATTGAGTACCTAGGCAAAGGTAACTTCAAGGTCAACGGTAAACCTAAGTTTGCCAAGAAACTAGCCATGCTTGCTGGAGGAACCGGTATAACTCCAATCTACCAAGTCATTCAATCGATACTAAGTGACCCGGAGGATGAAACCGAGATGTTTGTGGTTTACGCAAACCGAACCGAGGATGATATACTTGTTAGAGAAGAGCTAGAAGGATGGGCTGATAAGTTTAAAGACAGGCTGAAGATTTGGTACGTTGTTGAAATTGCAAAAGAAGGTTGGGAGTACAGCACAGGGTTTATAACCGAAGCTGTGCTTAGAGAACATGTCCCTGGAGGTCAAGAAGGTGAGTCTCTGGCCTTAGCGTGTGGACCACCGCCTATGATTCAGTTTGCGTTGCAGCCTAATCTTGAGAAGATGGGTTACAATGTGAAGGAAGATCTGTTGATCTTCTAAGAATTTGTTTAAGATTTATATGTATATCCATTGAAAGTCAATAGCCATTATGTTTTGTAAATGCATGGATATCATGGATGCTTATGTTAGAGTTTGTATTCTAAATGTATAATGTATAAACCGTGTTTATTGTTTTGTTACTGATATCATGATGATGATGATGATGATAAATGATGAAAGTATGTAACTCAATTACTTTCCGTGACTTAATGTTGTCTTCAAAGTGAGTTATCATATGGTTAATGTTGACATCAGACTCTGTCTAATAACTGTGTTATAGTTCACATCAAGTGATATTCATTATATCACGCTTAATAAAACGTTTTGTCTTGTAATGCTTTAGTTCCAAATAAGTAACCACTTGCTGTCGTGTTTCTTCCAGTTGGCATTGACAAGAAAAAGACACTAGACATGTTTGAACGCATATGCAATAGTCTTGTATTCGATACAAATAGATAAAAAAGAGTTCCGGTTCGGCCCTACGAGATTCGTGGTTCATGCGCATTTTACATTTGATAATACGATAAGAACGGTTAATGGAAAATATTTTCATATTAATTTGTCATGAATTTGAATATTTTCTTGGTATCAAAATTTAACTTGAAGTTTTTCGAATGCTTGTGGTTTAAAGCTAATTAATTTAGCGTATGTATTTCTTTTTATCCACTACATACTGGCCTAATTTACTCATAATTTTATTTTTATTTTTGATAACTGTGGAGAATCTAAGACGGTAAATTCAGACTAATCTCTACGAAACTTTTCATCCGGGCATGCACGGTTATAGGTGGAAAGATGACCAAGATAATTCGAACCCAGAACGAACACTCTAGCTGGAGTTCTATTATCACTAGGTCAAGAGCTCTTGATTAATAGTTAGTTATTTTCAAATTCAGCATAAACGCATCGATCTAAATCATGCATCTCTCGCTTAAGTTACGAACGTACCTTGCAGAATTAAAAAAAAAAACTTTCCAACCAGTTGTTCTATAGAAAATTCAGCATAGGGACATGCATGGGGCACGTAGTTACTTTTAGACCATAAAATATTTAAGCTAATAGAGAAGGAAACTTCCTAAATAAAGAGAAATAAAAAAAAAAATAAAAAGGAAAGAAAAAACAAAGAAGGTAAAAGAAAACGTATAGCCGCGACCCCGTAACAAAGGACGTCCTGACCACTGCGGAGACGGCGAGACGCTGATTAAATATTTTTCTCTTTTGTAATCCTAAAGAACGTTGTTTCGTGCTCACAAGGGTCAAGTGTCCATCATATCAGGATATAAAACCCCATCTTGTAGTTTGTCTTTATTCGTAATATAATCTAAGTTTGTAATTAGTTCAAAATTATACATGCATGTGACTCTTCTTACCTCGGGTCCCTTGTGAACATGACGTCTGAAATCTGGAGCTAGTTGTTCTACCTGCAACTAATTAGTTCTTAAACATTTGATCGGTGCTAAGTATTGAAAGTTGACAGTCTTGTATATATAAATATGGCATCTGCACCTACCTAAAACAATTGATAAAATATTTTTAACTTAGTTTTTGTTAACAAGAATTGTCGTATGCATTTTTAAAAATGTATACGTAACTAATAACGTATATGGCATATTATTCGAGATCCATATATTCAGAAATATAGGTGTCCTTTTTTGTTGTGTAGTCTTTCGATCCAAATTGAGAAAAAGCAAACTGAAATTACAAATTACAAATTACACTGAAGTCATCATTTGTCTGGTTGATATTGTTTGTAATCCGTAAGGATGTCCTTTGATTTGAAGTGAGGCCACGATCTTATTTTTGGATGGGTCACGAAGATTGCTAGTTCCATTTCTATTATCTACGTCTTGTCTTGTTGAGACCACCTCCTATGAGCTAGTCACCCGACCCATAACGTCATTAGTCCACATTTTGCATGCAATAAGTGTTCTTGTTTTCTTCTAACATACTATTTTGGATTAACATACATGGTTTAGAAATATATTTTACCATGACCCCCAATACTATGGTTGTTGTTCAACCTACACAGATTATGTAATCAGAACGGTCAGACTCATAGGCTTGGCCAAAACAACATTTTTTTTTCCATTCAAACAATATTATGTTTAACTGGTTAACTATTAAATTATGAAAATAAATATATTAGAATGCTAACTACTCTTTGATTTTTTAAAACGAGACTACTCGTTCGTGAGGAACATTTGTGATGTAAAAATAACAACTGTGGATCCACCGTTGCGATTGGTCCGGTTAAGTTCAATGATTTTCGGTCTTGATTTTGTCATCTTATGAAATTATGAAATATTTTTTTATTACTTTTATTACCAGCAAAACAAGATGATTAAAAGTTCATCAACGACGTCCCTTATGGCTATTAAGAGTCAGATGCAAAGCTGCCCACGGTGATTAAGGCTTCTTATATTGTAACCACTAGTGGTGTGGCCGCGCTACGCGCGGATTGTTTGATCTTTGTGCTATTCAACTTTGTAAATTTTTTTATTGGTTTGTTGTATAACTTAATTCATTTTGGTTGTAACAGATTCAACTTTTTTACATATAAATATAGTAATTTGTATAGTTAATAGCATGGAATACAAAACTGATAGAATTTCAATAATTGATACATATATGCAAACTGTGGAAAGAGGATTAATAAATTATAACTCGATTTTTTTTCAGAATGTGTATTCATATTGGAATATATGAGTATTAGGTTGTATATAATAGGGAATTTTAAAATATTTTTAAATATACAGCGTTAATTGCTTTTTCTAATTTTAAAAGATTTCTAAGTTAAACGATGAAAAAAGGTTAATGTATAGAGGTCATTCATAATGTGACCTAATTCTTAATCAAGTTTTTTTTTGTTTTACTTAAAATAGAACGTCGATGAAGTCCATAATGTCAAAGTTCATATTACATCCAAGAAAACTGTAGTTTTGAAATTGGTAATTTTTAACATTTGTGTATGAATGACATGTATTAATAAAAGAAATTATAATGTTTAATATATTATTATGCAAAAAAAAAGAAAAAAAAAATATATATATATATATATATATATATATATATCTAATTTTAAGATATGTAACTCTTACTCCTTATGTTTCACCTAATTGTAGTTTTAGAATTTTCATACACCAAGAATAAAATTAAAAATATCCAAAATAACATATTTTAATACATTTTTTAATATTAGATATATTAATTGTTTTAATTAATATAGAAAGTTACATTAAAACACACAAAACAACAAAAAAAAAATTTGTGAAACAAAAAAAAAACTATAATTTTGTAGAATGAAAATAGTATTTAAGAATTTTTTTATCCTGCGCAAATCTTAACCTAGTTATAGGTAAATTGTATCATAATACAAACTTTATGCTGATGACTGTAGATGATAAGTCTGACGTGGGTATTGGTTTTGAGAAACATTTTTGATTGCCTTTCATATAGTGGACTTTTACATTCCTGGCGGATAAAGGACAAAAGGTGGGTTCAAATCAAAAACTATTTGGATTATTTATGGCGCTATAATAAACAATCCAAAATCGCATGTAGTTCGAGAAACATATGAAAATTTCGAGGTTGTCCTTTGATGAGAGAAACTCACAGAATTTCTTAACAACTGGTGACCAACAAAAAAAAGCAATTTGATGTATTCAAATTCTAAAAGCTCAAATAGACTGAAACCATGAAGAAAAAGCCATCTATGCCTTCTCAGATGCATTTTCAGTGGTTGAGAGAAGTGGGTTGGGTAGTGTGGCACATTGGGGTCAACATATGTTCTTGTTTAATGAGCGGGACTTGTATGCTTACCCAGTTTTGCCTACTTCCCAGATGATGGCTCCTTAGAAGGGTCACTGTCACCAGCACAGAGTAAAGTGAGGTGACTCAAGGCATATTGTCTCAGGGCCCAACGTCAGCTCCCTCTAATGAGAGAAATATATGGTTATCTCCTAGCTGAGTGATTAATGTTGGGGAATTTCAGTCATAGATCGCACATTGTTAACAAAGACTGCGCCTGGGGGACGATGACGTTCACTGAACAGGCGGGAGATGGTGAATGTTGATGTTTCGAAGTAGAATTATTAAGGTGGAAACTTCAGCTGGAAAGAGTAAGTCTTGCCCAGAATATCAGAGATGAACTGTGGTATCGTTTGCCACTGGGTTCTCAACCCCTGCACCTATATGACAATCACACGTATTTTAAATTGACTTGATAGCCATAAGGGAGGTAATTTGTAAATGCAAAATTCTTGGGTAGAAGGCAGACTAAAAGATGGCCAATTTCAGAGACGCAAACGTTGGCTAACCTCTTCATTATAAAGCCTTGCCACTATTATCTAACGTTCATCTCAGCACGGTACCTGGAAAATATTAGCGTCTAGTTAACATGTATAGAACGCATTGGATTGGTATAATGAAAAAAATACAGCATTAGACAAACCATTAAGCGAGAAGTAATGATCACTACAATTGTTATGTTTTATGATCTCTAACTTTTTGAACTACTACATATTAAGCTTTTTGGTTTCAAAGTAAACGGTAGATGTAAATATCATTACTCTTTATTGTTTTACTTGCAAATATTTTTAATATTTTTAAATAAATTGAACAGAATTTTTTTGTTGATCAAGAAAACTGGCATGTCAAACAAATCTTTCCCTGCAACTGTCTCGGAGTCAAAATAAAAATGTGTTGCGGAGGTCCCATTCAAATACAAGTTTTCTGAGGAATTTTTTTTTTGTTAGTAAAGAAAAGCATGAAACCAAAACCACAACTTCCCTCTCACGGCAAATGCATTGACAATAAATTGTTTGCTCACCAGAAACTATTTTTGGATTGACGCCTGTGACAAGAACAGCCCTGGGCTCTCTCCCAAAGCTCTCCAAACGACTATGTAATGCCAAAGCTTGAGAGTCAAACATACTTACACACACGTTCACGTCGCTATAAGGAAAAAAAAAGGCCTTATTAACTCGATTTCAAATAACGTGTAGTCAAGTGAGACAACAGAAACCAAAATACCTTTCAAGCCTCAAAGTGAGCATTACACGTTGGGCCCCTGGTAAACGATCAGTGATGGTGCTCTTAATTGCACTAAGCTCACCCAAAATATCTGTTTTTAAGAAAAATAAGATAATTTAAAACCACTTTTACAAAAACTTGAATATATAATCGAACAAAATTAACCTGGGAGTTCTTTGCCACTGTTGCCTAACGCAAGTATGGTCTTGTTGGTATGGTTCGGACGGTGGTTTCAATCTTGTCAAACAAAGTCCCATCATTGAACCGTATGGAGAGGGGCGCATCAGTTAAACAGTATTTTGGATTGCTCCGAGTCACATCAAATCCGGTTAAGCTGTACACATTACCTTCTTTGAGGGTATGCCGGAATCTAAGCTTTCGAGCCGCAGCAATGGATGCTTGCATCATCGTTGCCTATTTGTTCATGTTTAAAAAAAAAAGTCAATGCTAAGCAAAAACCGAAAAAGGCAAGAATAATTGAGAGGAGGAAATAAATATTTCAAATCTTCGAATAAGGAAACCTTTCGACTTAAATCAGAAACAAATCATTCACCCAATAAAAACACTGATTAACGTATCGTAAACTTTAAGAAACAATTGATATATAATTTCCAGAAATACATTCTCTAAAGCCTTTCACAAATCTACAGAAACAAAAAATATTTTACACAGATTACAGAGGAATTAGAGGTAATTGTTTTCTTACGTTCTCTTCAATAAGAAACATGTCCACGCTCATCAGTTCGCCGGACCGGCTGCTGTTCCAGCTGGTGTTTCTCGCCTCCCAAAAACGCAGAAGTCGTACCTCCACCGTGTTCGAGCACCGGCCCGCCTATCAGCAAGGAGTGTGTAGGAGTTTGCCATTGCGGGAATAGGTTGCTTGATCTTTTCTTCGAGAGCGCTTGGGATGAAGTCGACATTGTTAGATATAGGAGTATTTATACTGAACCTACAGAGAGTTTTCGTGGAAGTCCAAGAGAAGAAGACAATGGGTCTCACAGTCAAGGTGAGAGTAAAGAAGGCATTAATGGAAAGAAACAGCGGTTACGTTTGCTCGGATGTTTTACGGCGGCGAGAGAAACAATGAGAATTCACCCTAACAAAGAAAGGAGAAAGTGGAAACCTAAAATAAATGGGCCTTTAAATCGTTAGAAGGGAAGCCCAGCTTGAGCTTAAAATTCGACAGAAAAATAATCAAACATAAACCGAACCAGTGGAGGTATAATTGTTCGGTTCAATTTAATTGTGGGTGCTGACATGTCATTTTTTGCCCCCTTCTAAAATCTGATGTGGACATGTTAAGAAGGGAGAAAACCTTGTTTTATTGTATAAGATTACTCCACTAATTATTAATTAGGCAGACTAATTTGTTTATTACAGTAAAGTATTAATATTTCTACTGTATTGTTTAAGTAGCTCTCAGCCAACAGGCAAAACATTGAACTACTTGGATTATTCAAAGATATGTAGCCTTCCAAAAGCATTGGGAATGGCTCCAGCTCCGTTGGGATATATATTAACAAATTCTCCATTGCCACAGTCGTTGGAGTTATTTATGTTACCAAGTGGAATATACAATTATAATTACACGCGTAATTTATTAATCCAACTAGTTGAAAAATCATAGTAAAACATAATTTTAAATATAACAATATAGCTTTGACTTTTTCTACTATCAAATAGTATTTTAGGCAATTAGTCATATAAACTACTCTAATATTGTGTGTTGATCATAGAAATTAAATACCTTTACACATTTTTGTACAATGAATATGCATTGTTCACGGACGCTCTACTTTAGTATACTTTTTCCAAACACTTTGCTTTAGCATATAGTATATGTTAATTTTGCCAGTTGCCACTAATAGTATAGTAGGTAAAGAATCCTCTTAGTAATTAACAGGGTTAACCCCTATTAAAATCTCACGTCTTATTAGTGTTGTACAAGTTGTAATCTGTCTTAATGTGAGACGTAAACATCTACTATGTAAGTTGTCTGACCCAAGAGTTGATTCTGATCACAAAACTTTGAAGTCTCTGCCAAACTTAATTTTTGACTTTTATCCACCGTTTTAATAAAGAAGCATATTTACCTTTAAATTATTCTTACTTTATTTTATTTTTTGACAAAAAGGCTTTTCATTCTTAGGTAATTATTACCCGAATATCTTGTCTTTGGGAGCAACTTGAAAATATCTCTTAAAATGATAAGAGTGAGAAGGGGATGTAACTAGAGACCACAAATACACTAATATGTCGCGTGCCTAACGCGTACGAGTCATTTTCGTATCCTTTTGGCAACCTTTTCAAATTTCTTTTGTGAAAATGACAAACACATATTTTAGTTTACATGTGGTTATGCATGTATATAATATCTGGAAGACCATCCTTAATACACGGATATAAATAGATAAATAAATAAAATTCGTTGTCAAGTAAATATCTAAAGGTTGAATTTTCACTAGAGCTAAATTAGATATCTATAGCTTTTATTTTTTAAAAAATCTGGACAGAAATCATTTTTACAAGTCATAATATTCGTCTCTGATTTAGAGACCCAACATTGAAATGAAAGGCCAAGCAAAAAAAACAATGAAAATGTGGTAGCTAGCTCAAATTTTATTAGAGTTTGCTTCCTCTATAATCCTATAAAGTAGCAATTAAGCTGAGTACTTTATCTTTTCTAAACAAATTACATAGTATCCAAAGATCCCAAGCTAAATATTTCATAATGTAATTCGAGCTAGTGATGTCGTTGTTACTCTCTGTATCTTTGAATCGAGTTCACTACAAACTAAACCTTTTTTTTGGGTCAACTACAACAAACTAAACCTTAAAAAATATATTTTCCCTTTTTAAAAAAAAAACCATAATATCTCTATGCACTTTTAGAATATCATATTTAATAATCTTCAAAGCTGGCGTTGTTCAAGATCTAGCACGTTACATGTTATTAAATTCATAAAAAGGAAGAATATTTTGCAGGTAGCCAACTACTTTACTACAATCCGTACGTTCTCTTGCTATATAATAAAACTAGTCAACCAGAAATAAGTTAACACAGTAGTATAAACTAACATTAGTAAACATTATTTGTTACCGGGAATTTAAAACTAAAATAAAACTTATGTAATCGTTTATTGTAACCAATATATTCTTTTACAGGAAACAAAAATCATTTTAGTTTCCTATATTATATAATCGTAAATATAAATTTATGATTGGATATTTTGACTATGAAGATCTTGACGATGCAAAAGTTCCTTTCGCAAATCACATTCATAAAAAATAAAATAAAACAAGTTTTGATTTCTCTTAAACATTTTGAAAATTTAGGCCCAGATCAAATCTAGGCCGCTCTGAATAAATTGAAAGCCTATTGCAGTTTTACTCTAAAGCCCAATAAGTCCACAAAAATAAAGCCCAACAAGCGAATACCGAGCCCAGAGTATAGTAAGAGAGGGAGAGAGACTGGTTGAAAACGCGGCGGCGTCAACGGCGGTTGGATATTGAATCTTAAAACCCTGTCTTCACCGTCAATCTCTGAAACTCACACTCTCTTTGCGACGATGTTCGGTCTACGCAGATCCGCGGCCACCTTATTCGACCATAGCCAGTCCCTTCTTCGGAATCTATCGGTTAGTTCTTCGTCTCAAAATCTCCACCGGAAGATTTAGACTTTCCAACATTTCATCAGTCTCTTCTTCGAGCTTTTGAATTAGGGTTTCAATAGATCGAATCGATTATTCTGTTGATATATGTTTTGGGTCATGTTAAAGTTTAAAGCTTTGCCATTTGCATACTCTGTTTCTGCGCTGATGTTTAAGTTAGAATCATAAAGTTGCAAACTTTTGATCACATCCTTGTTCTTACATATCTGTTAAGGTTTCTTACACCGACCGTGTCTGAACCAAAGCTTATCAAACGCATTACTTTGTCCGAAGCATTATTTTGAAACTGAAGCCGTTAGGTTTTTCTTACACCGACCGTGTCTGAACCAAAAGCTTGTTGCATTACCTTTGTCCGAAGCATTATATGAAATTTGAAATGTTAGTTTTGTTCTGTTTGTCTGCAGTTTCATGGATTGCGTGTACAAGGAATCCGTGTGGGAAATGCAGAGGTTCCAAACCAGAAGCCGCTCAAGACTGGTCTTCAAGAAGTGTACGGAATAGGACGCCGTAAGTCTCACCAGGTTCTGTGTGGGCTTGGGATCACTAACAAACTTGCTAGAGACTTAACTGGGAAAGAACTCATTGACCTCCGTGAAGAAGTTGGCATGCACCAGCATGGTGATGAGCTGGTAAAATAAAAAAACGTTTTAGCAGAATCATACTTGTAACTTTCTTAATGCTTGTTATAACCCGGTTTTGTTTGCATGAATGTTGATATGAAGAGGAGGCGTGTTGGATCGGAGATACAGAGACTGGTGGAAGTGGATTGCTACAGAGGAAGTAGACATAGACATGGAATGCCTTGCAGAGGACAAAGAACCAAGACGAATGCTCGCACTAAAAAGGGAAAGAGAGTTGCAATTGCAGGAAAGAAGAAAGCTCCACGCAAGTAGAACCCTTGAAACACCAGTCTAAGACTCTGTTGATCAAATAAGCAAACATGATTTTCTCAGGTGTATGGTTCTTTTTTTTTTTTGTAATCCTCGTTGCAGAGGAAGAAGAGAACTTCCAAGTAAGCATGATCTTGAACTTGTTCTTGTTCTGTAATACTCTCAGAAGCTTCTCTACTCTATTTGTTTGATTTGTTATCCTCAGAACATGATCGAAAATTAGCCCAATGTCAACGAGAAAAATGATACATTCCATTACAAGAAATCAAACAAGACATTAATAAACAAACGTCTTCTTACCAAAGCTAACAAATTAACATACCGATTTACACGATCCAAAAACAAAACGTTGAATCAGATTTAACTACTGCTTTTACTCTCAATCACCTTCAAGAACTCGTAACCGATCCTGGAGTTGAGCACAAAGCTCTGAAACCCTGTCATCACTACCAAAAGATGTAGCTATGTGACTGAGAAGTTGAATACTGTTGCTTAGTCGTGGCTCGGGTGGGATAGGAGGGGCAAGGAAAGGATGCTGGAGAAGCTCAGGGATTCTCCATCTTTGGTTACGGTCCCAAGCTAGACATTTCTTCATCAGGTCCACAAGCCACGGGTTAGAGAGTTGATGGTAAGTGATCTCATGGTTTGGATCTGTTATGACTTTGAACTTTGCCCAGAAGGTTTTGTAATCTGCAAATGGTGTTCTTCCGTATACCATTTGGTATAGTATGCAACCGAGTGACCAAATATCTGATGGCCTTCCACATTTTATTGTGTTTCCATTTTCATCGCTCTCGTTGCACATGAATGCTTCTGGTGACATGTAGCTCAACGTTCCCACCTGTCACATTACACAGTTTACCATTGATATCAACAGCAAGTTAAGAGGATGATGATGACAAAACAAAAACAGGGGAATACTATACCTGTGAATCTCGTTGAATATTTGTGGTGTCGCTGTTAATTGCCTTAGCTATACCAAAATCGATAAGCTTTAAGAAGCCTCTGACAAGAAGGAAATTTGCGGGTTTCAAATCAGAGTGCACAATGCGTTCTTCATGTATGGTGTTCACAGCTTGAAGTATTTGCTGCAATTGTTTTCAAGTATGGATAATCAATGCTCCCTGTAGTATCATTGTAACAAGACGAAAACAAAAACAAATTGATGGGTTGTGTAAGAACCTGCCAGTAGAACCGAAGCCAATTTTCATCAATTGTCCGGTCAGATCCTTCGATTTCCTTCCATTTTTGAGACAACATGTGAGCCAGATCGATTTCTCCATATTCTAGTACCATGTATATAAATCCATCGTCCTTAACTCTTGCATCTTTGTTACTCATTGTGCCATTCAAAACCTCCTGGAGTAAACACTTATCTGTAACCTAATTGCAAAAGAGAAATTGTGATGGAAATTAACAATCATTCAACCTAGAAACCAAAAAAAAATCTAACTGTTGGATGGAAAAACTAGAAGTAGGAAATACCTCGTAGTCTATTAGCTGAATGATGTTGGTTTTCCCTTTAAGCTTCTTTAGATACCCAATTTCCTGGCAAAATCCATATGCCGTAGCATAGTCACGACCCTTGAGCTTGATTTTCTTGAGCGCATATATGGTACAGTCTGAAGAAATAACCTTGTGGACTTCACTACTTCCTCCACTTCCTATCTTGCCAAGCCTCTGATAGAGTTTACCATTGACTTTAAAGAACAAGTCCGGATCATAATTTTTTTTTCGAGGAGCTGATGTCCCTTTGCTACTTGCTACCTTTTCATGCTTATCTGGTTTTTGCGGCTGTGAGCTAACACTGGTTAGCAAGTCATCGGGTAGAGGAGCCTTAGCTGTTCCGTCACTCCCATGAGTGGAAGATACTACTGGAGCTTCAAGCTCTGTAGTAGTGCACTGTTGCTGCTTAGACATACCTGTCTCTTTGACTCTTACTTCTGGATCAATAGCTGATGCTGGCATCTCAGATAAAAGGGCATCTTTATTGGCATGTAGAATATTGCTATCCTTGGAAGAAGGACGAGAAGAAGGCACATTCCCTTGACTTGAAACAGCATGGGAATTTGCATTTGGATCAGACTCAACATAACAACGAGAGACTTGGGTAGTCGCATTTAACATAGGAGCTGAAGAGGAATGAATTAATGTAGTTGTGGCACATGATGACCCCATGGCAGAATATTGAGATGCAGGTTGATTCAAGAAGTTGCGAAAGTCTCCTAGCTGTCCTTGCATCTTTGGCAACGAAGATGAAACCTTGTATTCAGATTTTAAACTGGCCTCGGAATCAACAGACTGGACATTCTGATACTTTGATCTAGTACAAGCACCAGCATTGGATGCTTCAGCCTGATTTGTTGCATCCCATTCCATATCTGTAAGGATAAGCGAGGTTAAATAAGTAAAGACTCTTAGCTCAACAACCAGACAGTAAACATGCGTGTCTCAACTGAGCCGAAGAGAGAATGATTGATAGAGCTCAAGTATCGTGCCATACTCTCCGTTCAGCTTTATCACAACTTTCAAGTATTACATACAAAACCAAATGAAAACAAAAGCAAGATAACAAAATGAAAGGGCAAAGGCCTTACCATGAGATGTGAGAGTGCTGCCAACGAGAGACTGAACCTTTCTGTTAACATTTTCGTTACGAGATCCTATATCCAGATTGCTTTCTAAACTAGTAACAACAGCTTTTCGCAAATCCATCTGCCCCCTGTCTGATGGATTAAAGTTCGTGTCCATTACAGTAGCTCCCGACATTGAAGACGTCGTAAAGGAAGCATTCTCGTTAGTTTCTCTATTAACAGAAGAGGCTAAGTTTCTTGTATCCTGTGCCAAAGTATTGGCAGCAAGACTCTGACTCAACGAAACAACATCTTGAGGTCTCTGCCCTTCAGCTGTAGAACTCCTTGCAGGCTGTCGTTGCGGACCAATACATCTCCGAGGCCCTATAGAGGTCGTCTGCATTTTACCTGAAAAAACAAAAAAAAAAAGATAATAAGAGATCGGATGCGAACTCACAAAAGGAATGATTTTTAGAGCACCCAAAAAGCTAAAAATAAGAGCAATTGGCGTCTCCAAAAATCGTGAGTTCGTCTCCATAATCAAATGGCTTAACCCATACCACATTCCAGAAACTCAGTAACCTAGCGGAGCTAATAATTACCAAAAAGCCCTAAATTCTATGATGATAAAAACCCTAAATCAGTCAAAAGCAAAGTTCCAGAGATAGAGTGAGAGTACTGAGAGGACGATGGCGTTTGAAAGCGGCTTGAAGATGGCGTAGGAGTTCTGGTGAGGAGGAGGAGGAGGAAGAAGACGATGATGATGATGATTCCTGGTGGAAGGTGGGGCGGACGAGACTCTTCGGAGGTTTATCCGGAGGAAGATTAGCCTCCCTTTCCATCGGAGGGTCTCAAATGCATCTCCGATTTTGCTACAGTTTTGGTTTTTTGACGGATTCAAGCTTCAATTTTACTCCATGGCCGCCGAAGAAGAAACCCCTCTCTCTCTCTCTCTAGAGACTGTTCGAGTGAGATTCGAACTCTGTATTGCCGCTTCTCCTTTGAAACTTAAAAATTCCACTGCCTATGTGGTCAGAATTAAAGCCCATTGGGCCTTTTGTTGACAGTGGTAACATCCAAAAAACGTTTTGACACTTTGACTAATACAATCTTGTCAGTGTTGTCACGTTTCGTAAATTTTCAATTTTATCAACGCAAAATTTGACAAATCAAAACAATCGCAAGCCAAATGTTTGATAAAAGGAATAAAACAATACCAAGCCAGATGAAAGAACTCATAGACACTGAAGTTTACATTCATAAAGATGCATACTCTGTATAGTGAAAACATACATGAACTAGACCTGAACATGTATAATTTTTAAACCAAATCCAAATAACATCAAGTCTCTAAAAGGATTTGTTTTATTCAAAGAGAAATATTGTACATGTGTTTAAGCCTTTAACACACAAACCAACCTCTATATTTTACTTTTAAATTAACTTTAAGCAACACATGTGAAATCCAAAAAAAAAAACAAGAATTATTCTTAGAGAAATAGAAAAAAACTTGTTTATCTAACAATAGAGTAAATCAACAAAGAGACAACATCAATACAAGCCACAAGAACCGAACCATCGTCATGAATCCACCAGAACTTATTTATAGAATCGGGTCAAGATGTTACGTTCACACCGGCTTCTTCCTATACATACACATAAACACAACATCATTCACATAAAACTTATTTATATAATCGGATCAAGATTAAGCTTAAGATGTTTATTTAGTTTTTTATTTTTGTCTAAGATGTTTATTTATTTTTTTTATTTTTGTCCAAGATGTTTATTACGAGTTAAATATATATATATAGAATGTATGAGTTGATTTAGTACGAGAAAAAAAAAATAACACCAAGAGATGAAAAAGGGTTTAAGACACAAACTTGTAGGAACAGAAAGAGATGACGTAATCAGAGCCGGTACAAGTGAAGATACTGGTCGGATCATCATAAGCATAGGTGTAAGCAGTAGGACAAGCCTTCTTGAATATTTTCGAGTAATGAGTCGGATGACACGTAGATGGATTCCCATAATCTCCTCTGCAACAATACTCATCACTATCGAACACATCACAAGCACTCCTACACGCTATCACTTTCCCCTTAGATTTCACAGCTAGCTTCGCCGGACACTTTCGCCTCAAATCGTGGACGCAGCCGGCGACGGTGCAGTTTCCCGTTCCGTTCACGGGAGTCACTGTCATCGGGAGATTAAACCCCTCGACGAGGCTCACGTCGTAGAAATCCAATGAGGCTAACGTGAACTCGGCTAGTGAGACTGGTTGTTTTCCAGAGGCTGAGCATTTTAGGTTTGATCCGCATGAACCGGTTTCGCACCTTCCGGTTCCGGTTTTGTTGAAATTACAACCGGTTCGTCCCCAGACTCGACCTGACCAGGTTACTGGTGCTTTGAAGACGATGGATTGGGCTGGTTTGAGCTTGAATCCTCCACCGTTGAAGTTTTCTCCGGGTGTTATCGCCGGCCATATTGTTTCGTGACATGAGTTCACGATCGTGAATACTCTTGCTGATTCGGACCATTTTGTCACTGTTACGAATTGATCACACGAGTTCTAATCATTATTCAAACCTTATTATTAACGGAGATGAATGCATGCAAAGTATATAGATAATGAATATACATGTAAACGGATAAATGTGTATTGAATAATTACCTGATAATAGTGTGAGAAATAGTAACAAGACCATTGGTGACAAATTGAAATTAAACTGCATCTTTAATTTTCTTGAAAATAGCTAACGATCAAGATATCGTAATTTTGGTTAGATTAGGGAGAGCTACTGAAGTGAGATTGACTTTTATAGTGAGGATGAGAGAATAACTTGAATGGAGAGTCGATATCTCAAATCGTGATAATCGTTTCAAGTACTGTAAAACATAAAAGTGATTTAGTGTTTTCAAGTAAGGTTCTTTGTTTCGGAATTGAGTATGCTTTAATGCAAGTATATATTCTTTTGGATTGTTTTTGGGTAAGGTATTCAGGTCCAAAAGGTTGGGACATATTTATAAATGTATATGTGCATCTGCATATTAGCGGATATATTGATATATATCACTAGACGTATAACATCAAAAATGATAATTGTCTTGATCTGATTATAGATATATACTAGGCTTTGACCCGCGCTTCCGAAGCGCGGGTATTGTATCTTTTTCAAATAAGATGAAATTTACATATGTATGTTTCGATCACATTAATGGATCATATTAAATTAAGAATATTTGATTGTAATAAGCAGTATAGGGAGTTATACTTCTTTATAGAGCGGTATATTTTATAATTTCA